TCTTATTATATTTCCCCCATCTCCATACTCCTTTATGATGTACTTTTATGCATGCCAAGTTCCCTACTACAACTTAAAAAATGTGTGTCAAAACTCTTTTAAGCAAAGTGTGTCAACACTCTCTCAAGCAAACATTCAGAAACTTTGTTTTATTCATACTGCAATCTAATACAAGATCTTGGCAGCATAGACCCACTATCACTTTCTTGAAACATTTTAACCATTTAACCCACAGATCAACAATTGTCGACCCAAGAAAAAACCACTCCTGTTCAAAATGCACGCATAATGTGAGCTTGTTTTGCTGAATTTAGCGTCAAAAGGACATGTGCTCTTGATTCTAGATAGTAAATAAGACAATAGTGAGCGCCAGTTGATGCTTTGTTGACAACAATGTAGCACGTGCGGTTCGCTGACGTTATCCGCCGACGACGGATTTCTGCCTCATGTTCCAAGAGCTTCCAACAAGGTAAGCAAATCAAGATTTGTCAAATATGTAGAAAGAGGTATGAGGAACCACAGTATGAATGTCATGGCGTTGTTTAGCGACGCTGAGGAAGCAGCCCTTTACCGCGGACCACAATTTGAGCTGCCAGGCAAGGGTTGCAAAACACCACGCGCGTTGTAGAATAGCATGGCTTCTGCACACTTCGAGTGGCGCACTTTTAACGTTGTAACGGTTAGATGCTGTAACATATTCATCGCAAATAAAACCAGACAACCTATTGCGTGTGCAGTTGGAGCCATGAATACAGAGTAGTTTTTCCCCATGAAAGCTTTGTGCCAGGAATATGGTATATTTCAAAGTGGAACGACGCAAGTGTATTTTCGTAGAACTCACTGATCTTATTCTTTGCAGGAATGGTTAAAGACATCCATGGAAAGTGGGGCACGGACAATGTGCTATAGTAAGTGAGTGAGTGACGGACGGGCAGACAGAGGGACACACAGACATGCAGACAGCCACATAAACAGACAGACGGATTGGACGGAAGCAAGAACGAGCGGAAGAACGGAAGCACGGACGGACGGAAGCAGGCGCAAGCAGGGACGAACACTTCGCCCCAACTAATCATCATTCACTCGGTTGATATGCTGTGATTTTTTTTGAACCCTGCCTATTTACTGTTAACTGACAGATCAACAAAATTGTTGACTTCCTCAAACTTTTAGTTTTTCACGAAACATCATGAAACTTGTTTTGGTGGTTCTGTGGTGCTTCTAAAGAAGAAATAAACTAGCAAAAAATTGTTTCCACAGTTTTTTCTTATCTTGCCAGTTAAAGGGTTAATAAACATTACTGTGCTTATAGGTAGAGATGAATTGCTTGTGTGAACCAAAACAGGTAATTTCCACACACACAAAAAAAAAAGAATAACAAAAAAGTTACATTTTTTAATTGCCAGGGTTTTTTAATTGCCTTTTGCCAGGGTAGCAAGTGGAAGAGTGCAAGAATAGTTCTTCATGCATCACTGCCAACGAATCTGGCGGTCAGCAACACAGCGCAGTCTCACACGTGTCAAGAAAGCAAGACTAAGGAAAAAAGTGTGATGTAACACAGCTGCCCTAGGCTTCCCCAAGGCCTCAGGACACTGTCACATTATTGGATTTGGAGCGAATCCTCGCGGCTCCACAGGGCAAACCAATCAGCCACAACTGTACGGTTGCCCTTGGAGCCTGTTTTTTTTTTTTGGTCTTTTTGGCTCCATATGAGCATACAAGAAGAGTCTTTTGTCTTGGGGGTCTTCATGAACGAGGCAGGATTGCCAACAGTGGCACTGGCCAGAGTAAGAAAAAGACTGTCGGCGAACAACCCACGAAAGCCTCAGTTGCTGGGTGCTCTTGCATAGATGCAGCAAAAGAGGTGGTTGGGAAGAGCCCACAGGAAGTGCAACGTGGATGCCTTCTATATGCTGAATGAATACCACAAAGGCACATGAAAAGCACTAATTTTCAACTTGCAGCAAAGCAAGAGCACTACAGAATGCAGAAATACTGATTCATCTATGTGTGTGTTGCATGCTGTTTTATTAAATTTTCCCTCCCTGTATAACTAAACAACAGTCTTGCTTCTCTGTAAAAGAGAGCGAAAGTTAGAACATTGATGGCCGTAGCGTGATAGAAAAGTGAAGGCTGTGACTACACACTGTTCTCAAGTGGCAAAATGACAATGAAACATCAGAGTCAAATTAGTCATATTCATAATTTTTCTGAACTGCCTAATTGCAAGCACCATCAAGAAAGGCGAAATAACATCTCATAATATCTTGATGTAACTATAGCTCTAATGAGACTATATCACAGGTCGTAAAGCATCTGATGCCAGCAAATTACAACTGCAGCATTGCGAGTTAAACATGAGCTGGAAAAGGCTGTCAGAAAATATCTACCACAACACCCATGTAGTTCTGGTGTGAGTGAGCTTCATTTCAATAAAGATGACCTAAACAAGCAACCTCATAATGTTTAATACATGTCAGACGATGTCTCTGCACACTATTTGCATAATCTGTAATGCCTACATATGTTGAAACATCACGAACAGTAGCGTCGATTGAGAAAAACACACAATGGGGGCAATGTGACACTAAATTAAAGGCTGAACAAGATTTCTGAGCTAAAAGCTTTCACTTGCCCTTTTATTCTCCCACAACACCTCTCCAGTTCATTTCGGTTAAAGGCTTCACTCTCAAAAGCCAAAGCTGCTTGACAAAAAGCAGTTTCACAGAACTTCCTCTACCTTTCCCTCGCTCTCTCTCCTTTGACTTCTTAAACAATGCCCAGGTCGAGATAAAGTGTGAGTGGGTGAAAAAATAAAGGAAAGCAAGGTCTAATTTACAAACACACACACACACATAAAGGAGGAGGGAAATGTCACAGCGCCGTCATTACCACTCGGGAAAAGCTCGAAACGGGGTCAAAAACAGCAAAAATGCAGACGTGAAAACACACTAGATGCTGTCACCTGTGTAAGCTGGGTTGAAACGGCCTCCAAAAGAAGGCAAAAACAAACCTCTGGCCTTAAGCTCTTTGCCGTTACGTGCAGGTACCTCATCATGGCTTAAACGAGAATGAGCTGTTGACAAGGAGCCATCATTAGAAAAAATGAAAAAAAAATGTGATGCTCAATGGCACGTCCACGATACACGAAGCAATTACTGCACTTAAACTTGACGTCCCATTTTTTTTTGTCATTTTGCAACAATAAAGCGAGTTTTGATAGATGATAGGCCACACGAACGTTTTTTTTATTATTTTTTACTGCAGAACGCTTTCCAGGACTACTGTAACGTGGAAGCGAGGCCTTGCAAAAACGAAAGCTCGCAGCAGACCAATTTCCGGAAACGCCTGCGAAAAGAAACCCCCTAAAGTCGGGGTCGGGTTCGCGTTGTCAACAAGCAACCGGCAATAGGCGCTTCCCGAGTTCGGGCTACTTGGCGCGGAGCGAGTCGGAAGAAAGTTTAGTTCCAACAGACACGGTGTAAGAGGTTTGTTCCAGACGCCAACACGACGACTGACGCAGATCATTCTGCACCGGAACAATGGAAGCGGCCCTTCCGGACGGCTCAAACACGTGAACTGCGACCGTTTTCGGGGCGCCAGCAACGGAACAGCGCGACGCGTTTCCTCGCAGGGAAGCGCAGTAGTAGTATGCAAGCGAGCAAACGCCGCCGCGGCGCGAAGGGGGGGTGCAATCCGTGAGCGCCCTGTCGGGTAAACGCGGCTCCCAACGAGGACGGCGTGGTGACACCGTCGGTGTATGCACTACCGTGCGTCACGCAGGCTAGCTTTTTACCACCGGCCGGGGTCGCGCCAAATGATGCATGACATCTCTCGCAGTTACACAGCGCCGCAACTCCCCCCCCCCCCCCCTCCCCAACACCCTCAAGCTCTGCCAGCGATGGGCGTTACACCCAGGGAAGCTCCCGTTCGCGTGGAATTGGCTTCAGTAACCTAGCGCAAGGTGCGATGGCCGGGCCAGCGTTCCTGTACTCGCTGTAGTCTACGGTCCCAAAGAAAATAAAAAAAAAAGATCACAAAGGAGGCACACAATGCGAGCGCAACGGGCTGGCCCAGGCAGCACCTTTCGACTAGCCGGCGAAAAACCTGACAGATCGACAAAACTTCGGGCGATCGTCCAAGTCATGGTGCGCTTAATGACGTCAGCTCAAGGTGCCGCGGCTCAATTTCTTTTCGGCGGCGCTCTCCGAAGCGAGCAAATAAGATGCCCGATAAGGCACCGCGCGACGCACAAATCGATCACTTGCTGGCAGCACGTTCAGATGCGGGCCTTCCAGCAGCAAATGGCCTACACGCGCGTCGCTTGCTTCCGCGGAACGAAAAGCGCTGGAGCCCATCCAAAACGGGCAGGCTCACTGCGTCGCTTTCTCTCGAGTTAAAAGGTTAGCGTTCTTGTGCGGGGGCAGGTGGCCTCGGCAACATGTCGCAACAAGATCAAAGTGGCGTCCTAAACTTTTTTTTCAATTTTATTTCATTACTTTTGTTTCTCACGTACGGCCGTTCAGTTTACGGGACAATGGATCAGTCAATTTCCGCAGCACTCGCTACTGCACGACCGAGGGGAGTCCTAAACCACGCTCAACACGAAAGCAAACCCTGCAAGGAAAAATCGCCTTGCGATCGACGGCTCCGCGAGAATGAGAAACCGCGACACCACTCCTACACACACCACCGCAACAAGAGGACACCAAAAATTTCGAGGCTGCAAGAACATTTTATATATGCTACCGCAGCGTAGACGTGTGCCCAAACACCAACTTCACAAAGAGACGATACTTGTTCCGACGGGATCGAAATTCAGAAACCGCCGACAGGACTTCGCCGGACAAGGTTGTTTCGCATCGCATGGGGTACACCAAGCTTTTGCGACACCCCAAGTTCCACCGGTTTCATCGTAATCGTTACTGCACATCCGTGTAAAGAAAGCTCGAGTGGTAATCGACCACGATCATAACACAGATGATGACACAGTGACTTACCTAATCGTAGCTCTCCGAAGTTGCCGCAGCCGATTTTTTTGCCCACTTTGAAGTTGGGTCCCACCATCAACACACCGGAGTTGCTCGATCCCGTTGGCCTTGTCTGCGAATGCATAGCTCTTGCGGCGGCCGTAGTTTTGGATGCACGCTTGGGAGTCTCGTCTCGGGGCTCCCGGGAATCACGTCTTTGCATCCCTGCGGCCGGGAACGCCGAGAAAGTTAGGCTTAGGCACTAGGCTTAGCCCACTGCTCTGGCAGCGAGTGGCTATGGCGCTAGCTGGCGATGTCATGGGTGGAAGTTTGATGACGGTGGCGGGTTGAATTGAATTTCCATCACTGCCCGAGACCCCTCAAAGTCTTGACTCCTGTTCTCGCGTTCCAAACTACACAAGGACACCGCTCGAATTGGCTTTTCTTTACTAAATCACAACGACGCACTGCGCTCCTATCCACAACAAAGCCAGAATACTCCATGAAACTGGGCCCAACCTACCCAGAATGCATTTCCAGAGGAACTCTTGGCCACAACCTTCCGTAACCACTTTGCAGTGTGAAGACCAGCAACGCTGTAGAACTTCACCACTATCTCTCGAGACGTCGGTCCATCGCTAAACGGATCTTCAGTCGTGCATTTTCAACGCGTTGCACCGCTAAGATTTCAGAAAAACGGCTTCCGACGTTCCAGAACTCCGCGGCCTCCGCTGCGAAATCACCTCATAAACAAACCAACTTCCGGTGCACACCGGAGAGAGCTCTTCGATGTGTTACGCCAAGTTTAGGATTTATATTATTTGACAGGTGCCTCGCACGGCCAGTGATTATTACCATTCCAGGTGTAATGCACAGACTCACATTTTCGCGATTGCACAGGCGAAGCGAGACCACCGGAGCGACCGGAGCAGCGAGAAGCTGCTGCAACTGCTTCCTAGAGTAGTTACACGTTCTGCCGCATAGCACTAGGCGGCGGCAAACGTTTCCTGTAAACATTCAAAACAGCGCTTCGCTTGAATGTTGTTGGTTGTTAGATGTTTCTGTCGGCTTCAACTAGTTTAGTGAGCTGTGAATACCGCCTACACTTCTCATCATTGATGAGCCAGTATGAACAAAAATTATCTGATCGTCACTTCGATCCTGGAAGGTAAGCACGCTGAGTAGTAGTGTAGTGGGGCATGGGCATTGCGGAATGTTTATTGCCGTCTCGGCTGAAATTCAAGTTTTTTTGGGTGTTTCTCGGAGCACACGTGCGCACCTTTACTTGCAGGAAGGTATTTCCCAAGCAGGCAAGGCTGTGACGTTGTGATAGAAGCCAGCTTCGACGGTGAAGTGCTAACCACAGACCCTGTGCCTCACTCCTGTCATCCCAACTTCAATACGGAGTTGGCGTGGGGCGTAGATCGTCGAGGTCTTCACGTGCACAAACTTCACAGGACACCTGTGAAGCTCCAGTGTTTTGTAGTTGAGCGTTCGTCCAAAAAGAAGGACCGCGTGGGATACGTTGTGCTCGATATACGCGGCATTCCTGAGGGTGGAAGGGTGAGTGGCCAAGAAAATTTACGTCTATGTGCTTGCCGGAAACCCGCCGCAACATTGTGTGTTTTATTGTTATTTCCTAACGCGCCAATGTTTCGCTGCCCTGAGCTCTTCTCAGGTTAGAGTGGTCGCACTTGGTTTGCTTTCCCAGCTGACTGCAGCTGTTTGATTGTGCCCACTGTGGGAACTAAACGGTTGAGGCTCACAATTAATACAGGTTTGATTCCTAGTCATGGCAGCTGCATTTTAATGGAAGCAAAAAAAAAAACTGCTCATGTACATGAATTTATTAAGGAACTCCAGATAGTTAAAAATAGTCCCCTATCCTGCACACCTCCGAATCATTTTGTTGTTTTTTTATTTAAATCTCTACACATGCATGTACACACATGCACACACAAACGCGCACACACATGTATATATATTGCCTGGTTGTGTTAAACTTTTAGTCCCACATGACCATCTTGTCCTACCTGAGTGCATAAGGTGCAGAAGAGGGAAATGTGATGTGTGTAAGCAGTGAGCGAAAGAGTGTTCAATTTTTACATTTATCCTGACGCCTGGCTTGCTAGTCTTCCCTCCTTTCTCATTTCCTTTTTTTCTCAATGTAACAGATTTTAAGAATGTCTACCATACATTGTGACTGATGTTAAAGATATCTGTATAATCTTTTTCCTAGTTTTTTTTTCCTTGAGAAAGAAATGCATGGTATTTCTAAACTTCATTCTACATTTTTTTCAAGCAGTGAATAGGCTTCTGACGCAGTGAGTGTTTCTGGCACTACTTTGGTGAAAGGATGGGGGGGGATTCTGTTTCGGAATGATGCGGCCACATTCTTGGATAGGCAGGCAGAAAGGGCAACTTTATACTTGAGCTGTTGATGAATGTTGAAGAACTTGAGATGGTCAGAATTTGTCCTTAGACTACACTGAAGAACCATATATAACTTATGCTTCAGTTTATATATGCAGAACTACACTGAGCCACATTGTGCAAGCCTTAGATGTTTTCTGGTGTGTTCTCAATCAATCAGTTTTTATCTGCATTGTTGAAAATTTGCATGCACCACTCAAACACACAACACGAAAAGCACGTAAGAACTGTGCAAAAAAAAAGTGCTCCAGTCTTTTTGTGTTTCTTTGATTGTGTCTTTGTGTGGTGTTCACAAGTTTTCTACTATTCAGCCAAACCAGCTAGCTGGCCTTTCGATTTCATTTAAAGTTTTTATTTACCATTAACAATGTTGGTTAATAACAACATATAAATTATACAGACAACAACACAAAGTGCAAGAGTGCAATGGGACACTCGGTAAAGGTTATGTAAAAATAATACAAAGTTTAACAACAGTGACATGAAGGAAATATTGCAGTTAACTCCAAGGATGGCACTTTCTGCCCTTGCACCAGCCTAGTTTGACTAGGTGTACTTAAGGAAATTTCTCGGTTCTGTGTGTGTGTATATATATGCTTAAGATATATTATACACACTACACACACACAAAAGAATATACCCCCCCCCCCCCACTGAAAAATCTACGTTACTGTTAGGTGAGTTCTTTTCATGTCCCCCATACCAATAGGTGGTTTTGCTCCTCTTTTGTACGTTTAGTAATGAAGTAACTTCTTGCAAACAATTTAGTAAACGTGGCTGTTGTTGCTGCAGAGTGCGAAATGGCATCCGTTGCTGAACAGCAAATATCATGGAGCCAAGCCAGAGATTCATGTAGGGCTGCATCTGGAGGAGGACACTGTTCCCGACGCGCCTTCCCTAGCCACTTCAGAGCCTGCTCGGACAGATGTCAGGATGCAGCGTGTGGTAGTGCAGCCAGCTGACCCAGCTGCAGACACTGACCTATCACCTTGTCTCAACCTGAGAGACGGCTGTTACGATATTGGGAGGCATCCCACAGCGCTCTACGTCTTCACCGTCACCATTGCATTCGCTGCAAACCTTAAACATGTGAGTGTGTGTTTCATCATAGTCCTCTTCTTGAGAGTTACTTTTGAAATAAGGCTGACGTAATAGTTACTATTTCTCCCCTTTCCTTCTTTCTTTTCATTAGGAAAAAAAATTATACGTTCTAATTTTAGATAAAACGCTAGCAAGTGTCACGGCACACTAAATAATTACCTGATGGAATGAAAAGAAGGACACTGACCGTGAAAAAGAACATGCAAAATTGTGTTCCAGCTCCCCTTGTAGAAAGTTTTGTTCACAATGAAGCGAGGACAAGGGAAGCGATGTTTATGAGGGCTCTAAAATGTGACAAAAGCAGCGGGTGTGGATAAGAGAGAGGGTTCTGTCATTTCAGTTCAATCTGTTGCTTGAATCAGGGTGGATTTTAATTGGTGTCCTGAAAACATTTTTTTCTCTTCTAATATTGTGGGGTTATCCCAATCGATTTGATGACTCAAGTTTTCAGTGTGTTTAGTCAAGGCATTGCAAAGACACTTTATTTCTTGTTGACCTCCTTCACATGCTGTTTGACCCACTGTTAAAAGTTTTCTATATCGCCGATATATACACAGTCACAGTTCTTACGTGGGACCCTATAAACTACGCCACGAAACTTTTTTTTTTTTGAAGCTTGTCCTTCACCAGCTGATGTCGCAATTTCTGTGTAGGAACATGGGCTACTTGGACGTAATGGTGTGGAATTCGAGACAGACTCTCACTCACACCACTCACCTATGATATCGGTGCACATTTTTGGGAATGCACGGTCCGGTCTTGGAGGCTCAGACAGCTGGCGTTGCACTGAGTTGCACATGCATAAACTTTAGGTAGCTGCATGCTGAGATTGTAAAGACAGTGACTTCTCATTTCCCAAAGTAGCTTGAAGTTGTGGGTTTGATTCTTGCCATTATCCATAGGGAATCGGGAAAACTAAGTACATTTAATATATGTTGTGAATCCGACTTTTGTATGGCCTGAAAACTGGCAATAGGCACCTGTTGGCAGTTTTCAATGCAAGGTAAGACAGGGCTGCTGTGCAGAGTCCTACAAAAGATTTTTGACATGTAAATGTGCGAAACAAATACAAATTGCTAACTTTTCCTTGAAATGATAACTATAGCATGCCCATATGGTGTAAGACTGATCAATGTGTGTGCAGTCCTGCATTTGTTAAATGCCAGTTTATTTTCTAGCTGACGGGAAAAAATATGAATGAATATCAGGGTTAAGCATTTTTGTCCTTATACTAATCACTTTAGTTATAAAACGATGAGGAAATCAGCACCACTTCATGAGATATTCTTTAAACTGTTTCCTCCAGCCTAGGATTCTATTAGCACAATGTAGTCATGTCAGATGCAGTAATTTATTGTACTGTGACCTGTGCAGCTTCAAGAAAACCCTGAAAACAGACCACCAACTGGCCGTGGTGGACAATACCATTTCATTTATCACTTGCTTGGGCATGAAGTTTCTACAGAATCATTCCCCAGCTTGGAAAACCCAGAATTTCCAGCGGAGAGAGCGTCGCTGCGCATTCGTAGCAGTGGTCCCGTGCTTCGCAAGTTTTTTGCTGCGCATCCAACCCTTCAGGTGTGTGCCTCTGGCGAGTGATTAATGGCCCTACATGCTGATTGTTTGTGACTTCTTTTATATGTTTTAATTGACTTCTTTTTTATGTGGCTCATTAGCAATTAAAGTCCGATGTTCGGCATTTTCAACACTTATGACGCATATCCACATTTCTTGGCAGAGAATGAGCAGCAATTAAAGATGAATAAAATTATATAATGTGAAATAAAGTAACACTGTGCCAAGTGATTAGAATCGGTGATTAAGTGCATAGGATTAACCAAATGGGAATTTAGCTAAACTAAAGGAAATGTGAATGAACAGTGAATCAAGTTTTAAAAACACGTCATGTGCCATGATTAGATGCAGTTCTGCAATATAACCTTAAAAAGCCTCTAAACCCCCTCCGATATTTTCCCAAACATTTCAAGTAAACAAGCGCATCGCATGCAGAATGTTGTCGCAATCAACGATGCCACACGCCGCAGCGCTACAGCTGGCGGGCGCGCCAAAATTTCGAAAAAACAATAGCTTCTCCTTTCCGATCTCTGCCATTCCCATTACTGACATGTGTGATATCACCAGTGAAAATTGATGATGTCACCAAATTTCAATGCTTGCGATTGGCCGAACGACAACCGACGACTTCCGGTCACTCTGCAAACAGCTGTTCACGTGCACCTTGCTGTTTTTCGTCATGTTGCCGCTTGCGAATCGATATCTGCGTTCTGTAACGCAACCGCCAAGTCGCTAGCGTAGGGGCACGGGCCGGCATGAGAGCAACAGCGGTTAGTCAATGATCGGTGCACCCAGATGACACACGCAACACAGTAGACGGCGAGCCGGGGCGTCGCAGTGGCGGATTGCGGCAACCAGAAGTAGACGCTGTCTCGAACAACACGTCAGCGGGGACGTATGCCACGCGAGATGAGGATGGGCTCACAGCTGACTCAGCGAGAAGGGGCCAAGCGGTTTTGGAAGAGGGTAGCGTAGGAAACAGGCAAAGAAGCGAGCATCGCGTTTCGATCATCAAACGCGTGTAACTCCGCTATTACAGCATCATTTCGAAAAATTCTCACGGCTACATATTCATTGTAAACTCGAGCACAACTTCCTCACCTCAACTAAATTTAGACCGCTGGGTGGTTTTAGGGGCCCTTTAAATCCTAAGCTAACTATTTGAAAAATGAATGAACTGTATCAGTTTGACAACAATATACTGTGGTTGATGTTGTTAGTAACAACCATTTCATCAAGTAACCAAATTGAACTGAGCGTCTTCTACAATAGACAGTTAAAAAGTTGCGTGTTGCTAAAAGTAAAAGATATGCACACAGGGTGCGTGCATATCTGAACACATTCGGATATGGATGCACCCTGTGGTGCTGATTGTTAAAAACTTGCCGTTTTCAAAGTTTCCACAACTTTGCTTGCACTTTCATGATAAAGATTACCTGTTAGCGAAACTCTTTTAGATCTACAACACACGTGTCTGCGCTTGCGTGTGCTTGCATGCATACTTTTAAAAGTGCCTTGAGGGCAGCAGTAAGCATCTGTGTTAGTGCAATAAGAGAATGTAAAGGAAAGTGATATAAGAAAGAGGTGAGAAGTTGCAACAGTTTCTTGGCAGAGATAATAGCACCACTTTAATAAAACTGGTGATCATTGCATTCTGACTTCACCAGGCAAAGTTGCTTTACTCATCTCATTAAGCTGGCAGTTATATATAGGTAAGTTTGAGCAGAGAACACTTTCTGTAGGTGGATGCAACTGTAGAAACGTGCACAGACATCTGTTCGCCCATACAAAAATTTCTGGCTTTTTGGTTGCGCACAGGTACAGCTTGCATCTGACGATTCAGTGATTGCGGAGACGGAAATTCCTCTTGGCGACTTCTCAGCAAGCTCTCCGGATTTCTCTGTCTCTGTGCAGGGCTTGTTTCAGGCAAGAACTTGTTGTTGCCACGCCTGATTTGTCTTGGTATTTTGCCCAGAATGTACAGTTTATAAAAAATGAGTTTCAATGCTGCTTGGGCGAGTTGGTTCATGATTAAGATTTACCAGTGCCCTTCCTAGATGGAACATTTCGAAAGGACACACACACAGTGCTGTGTGTGTGTGTGTGCCCTTCTTAAATGTGTGTGTGTGTCCTTCCTAAATGATTTGTCTTTTTTTCCGCTGGTAAGTCTATCTTATTCATGTTGTAACACAAAAATTTGCTTGAAGATCATTGTTTCTGCAGTTCCTATTAAGTATGCGGGTAAAATCATGCTGCTTCTGTGCTACCTGTTGAGAATATGTGTGATTGGGGGGTAGTAGGGGTGTTGTGTGAGAAACAGCTTTGAATTGATGTCCTTAGGAATATTGGGGATGAATCTGGCCGTTAAAGGTTTAATCAAAAACATTCTTCTTTTTATTGTTGAAAAGAATTGTTTTAAAAATCCACATATTCGCTACCGATTACCAGATCTGGTGTCCACATACTATTATTTTTTCTTCTGTATCTCTCTTTCTTAATGCAGCTGTGTCCTGTTCCGCACAATGAAGATCTGATGAGCAGAATAGCACCCGAGTACAGGCCCATTGTTGGTGTCTATGTGGAGATTTCAGAAAAAGAGGTAAGCCTTTTCCGTAATGTTGTATCAACACTCCCAAGCATCTATTTTATATTTTGTGTCTTCTCTTAGTTGTTTAATACAATTCTCTTGAAGGGTGTTTGTCAGCCATCAGATGTTTTTTGAGAGACTAGAGGGGGTACGCTGGAACGGACCCTCCGTCAGACGCCCTTCAGAAGGAAGGCACCTGTTGTAGAGCAAATAAGAGGGACTGAAAGTTGAGCTAGTTGTTTAGAATCTTGTTCTACATTCTGTCCCTTCCTTCCTGGACAGTAAAGAGGCATCCTTTCTAGTGGCATTTGCCGAGCTGTTCCTTAATTCATTTCCATTATTTCTGCCTTTGTAGTCTCCAAACAAGTTTGTAGTGATAGAGCCTAAATACTACTATGCTATTTCTAAGTATTCTTATTGAACAGCTTCTCTTTTGACATGTGTGGTGTTTTGGTTTCGTTGTATAAGGATCTTAGAGCTACATGTCCTTTCATTCTAGGGGGATATGATGTGGTGTTTTGGTTTTGATTTCATGGTTGCCAGATTTGGTTTCATGTAAAGTATTTTCGCCGTCAGGGGGCACTACCCTGTGTATAAATGCACGGCATTGTATGTAATAAAGGAGTTTCCTGCTTAGCTATAGGCTGCCGCATACCTCGTGTCGGCCGGCGCTGCAGCGCCGTGCCCTGTGTTCTTCGTGCGGCGCGTCCGCCAGCACAATACTACAACATGCTCAGCATCTTTGTCCTGTGGGGTTGCTATCATTTGTAAGTCATTTGTGCCTCATCCGCGCTTATGTCTTGCGGATTAGCTGCAGTTATGTTTCACAGTTGTTGAGTGAGTAGTAGCGTTGTGCTCGCACGGGTTAGTGTTGGCGCAGTAGTGCCAGCAGCGTCGTCCGGTGGCGAGCATAAGGTGTGCACACAGGAAGTAGTAGGGAGGCTCTCTTTGGGGTTGGCGGCTTGCGGCGTTGGATGTCTCCTGTGGTGGGTTTGCAGGAGACAATACCGTAGGTCGTTTCCCAGGGATCTCTCGTAGTGAGTCAAACGTCGGCAAGGCTGCAATCACAGTACCTTTTGTTGATTATGTTGTTTGCTTGTGTGTTCCATTGGAATAGTGTATACGGTTGTTTAATGTCTTCAGTGATGTATTTGATTTGGCTAGCAAGCTCGATGTAAAAGTGGGTAAATCAAATGTGCATGTGTTTGGTTTGCATGGCCGCGTGTACTGTCCTCATGTGCTCTGAGAGCGCACATAATTTCGATGCCCTAGTCTAGAACGACACTTGACATGCAAGGTATTTTAGAGCTTATTCTAAGGTCTTCTTGCTTCCTGCAGGCAATAGGAGGCACTGCAAATGAAACTGATGGCAGACAGGAGGAACCATTGTCTGAGCAACCACCTGCTCCATCACCACCACCGCCCGCACCTGCAGCAGCTGCTGGGCAGGGGGAGAGTCCACATCCGGCTCCACGGTCACGCAGTAGAGACTCACGGCCCCGAACACCAACGCAGCTTTTGCCGGAGAGAAGTCCCACGCAACGACCACGCCGACAGCTGGACTTCTCGCCCCCACAGAAACTCGGGCGTGCTGAAAATCGGAGACCCACTGCCGATGCTGCCTCCGGCCAGCCTGGTGACTTCAGGCCAGCACAAAGCAGTGAGGGCTTCATGGCCTTGTGTCTGAAGCACTGGGGAACTGAATGCACTGTGTGTTGCACGCAGATGTTCATGGTTTTGCAGCTAAACTTATGACTGATCGCTAAAGTCTTTGCAGATCACTAAACTCTTTGTCAGAGTATAGCATCGTTATCGTCACTTATTAACCGCAAGGCCTCTCTTGAAGTATTACATTCGAAAAAAAGGACATTCAAACACTGATGAATTAAGTAAATGCAATAGAAAATATTTAAACTAAAATGAGATGAATCGGTTAGACAGTCAAAATACACAGCGATGCACTCACCATTTAAAAAAATAAGAATGGACGGTCATTCCACATACACAGATTGAAAAATGCTCTCAATTTAAAAAGAAAAAAAACCCCTCAAGGTACGTTAGGCATTAACACTCAAAAAGATTGTTAGTACATTTTGAAACTTGATGCCGTCACGTTTCATTATGACAAGGTTGGGTAATCTATTCCATTTTGCAAAGGCTACTAGCAAGAAAGAGTTATTGAAGGATTTGGTAGCGTGGTGAATTCATTGGAGACTGAGGGAGTTTGACAAGTGGCATGAAGTACGGATTGTAAGTGTGAAGTGTTATAATGGAGGTTTTGAAAGAGATTTCTTAGCAGAGTGCTAGTGATTTGATGTCCACGGATGATTTGATGCTTGTGACACTTAGCTGATGGTCATACTGAGTAAACGGGGCTGTGCAGTTTTGGACGGCGTCAAGTAGCTAAACGAGGTACGCTTGATGCAAATTCTAGTTTAGTGCACATAAATGTCTTATATGCTAGTTTACGGATCACAGGGCTGACAATGATATTGACTGTCCAATGAATCTCAGGGATTTGTTAGTTGCAATAACCAGATTATAAATATGTTCTGACCATGTAAGCTTGCTAGTGGGAGTAACGCCGATATACCTGTATGATAGAACCAGCTCAATAAGAAGAGTGCAAGGAGTAGGAGTATGATATGAGAGCATTCTTCTGCAATATGCACATGAACTTACATAATTGATTTTAAGGCGTAAAAAAAAACCAATTACGTCTTGTGATTGTGTCTTTTCATCAATTATGAACATACACCAAGTTGCCCAACAAAAAGTTATCCTAAGACATGAAGTTAAATTTTTTGACATTTAGTTACATGAGCCACTAAGTGTACCGTTTGTGGTTGTGAGTTTGCGCTGCAAAAGTAATTGATCATAACGTGACTTTATATAGTGGTGCAGGATACATTTATTTGTCCAAATTGGCAAACAGCCAGCTGGATGACGAAATCCCAGAAGGCAGGTCATTAAGGAGAACTGGAAACAAAAGGGTTCCGAGGAGTGAACTTTCCGGCACTCCAAATAACACTTTGGTGCCTATAGAGTGGAGGTGCCCGATCACAGTGAACTGTGATCGGCATATGCGACAAACATAGGATCCATGACCTGATTAGCAAATGAACTCATCCGCTATTTATTTTTATAATTAGTCATTGATGAGGTACCCCCCCCCCCCCCCCTGCCCCGTCGCGGTGGTTTAGTGGCTAAGGTACTCGGCTGCTGACCTGCAGGTCACGGGATCAAATCCCGGCTGCGGCGGCTGCATTTCCGATAGAGGCGGAAATGTTGTAGGCCCGTGTGCTCAGATTTGGGCGCACGTTAAAGAACCCCAGGTGGTCGAAATTTCCGGAGCTCTCCACTACGGCGTCTCTCATAATCATATGGTGGTTTTGGGACGTTAAACCCCACAAATCAATTGATGAGGTACCCAGTCAAAGGCTTTTGAAAAGTCTAGGTGAATTACGTCAATGTGGAGGCAAGAATCAAGGTTGCAGTGGAGGTTAGTAGTGCATTCAAAAAGTTGTTCCTTGGACAAAGCCATGCTGAATACTGAAAAGGAAAGAGTTATATTCAAGATGAGGGGCCACATGATAATTGATTATCTGTTCACAAAGTTTGCAGGTGATACAGGTGGGTGATATTGGGTAATAATTTGTAGGATCTATTCTGACACTGCTTTTAGATACGGGGACAACCTTGCTTAACCTTCAGCCTTTAGGAACTGTACTGGTTGTTATGGACATTGAACAGATTGATGCAAAACTTTACAAAATATTTGTTGCGCAAACCTAGAATGAGGAACAAAAAACAGGAGAAGACAGAAAAGAGTATCTTGGCATGCCTATCCTGTTTTCTCTCATGTTTTTCCTCTTTCTTAGTTTGCGTCACAAATCTTGCAGTAATTTTTTTTTTCCCTTTTTCTGCTCACAAGATGGACCTGTCGGTTCTATTCATGTTGCTTTATTATATACACTTTTATTGTGTTTGTACTCTATAACAAAGTATAAAACACTTTACGTATATTTTGTGTGCTGCTAATGCAGCCTGCGCCATTTTATGTAATGAGAATTAGGATTCTGTCAAAAAGGTGTCTTTATGTCAGTGCTAGTTTGTCATATCTGGACCTACTGCACAAGACTTTGTGGAAAGCTAAGGTAATGCAGTCGATTGAAGTGAACCTCATTTTTTAATTCAATAACCAGAGCAAACGCTCCTCGCTTTTGCCGTGTTGGACTGCGCAGCTTGTGCCCAATGTGGCTCCTGTCAGATTATTCAGGTACATGCCGCCGCGGCTGTAGTCCTTGTGGCTCTGTTTTGGGGATACCTTCACTAATTTGTGGCACAGCAATTATCTGAGTACCTCTGGCTGTGTTGTCCGACTCTGTGCTCAGTGGCTCATCCAGTGTCTGTTGAAAGGATTGTCCTCGTTACACAAGTCTGAAGCGCTGAAATTAAATTGGGCACATCATTCGATGCTTTGATCATGGCTCGCTTGTACTATAATGAAATGGTTGTTAAAAGAAAGAAACTTAAATTAAAGGCAGGAGAGGGCTTAAGGTGTGATGAAATTGTCATTGTGGATGGGAATTTGCACAAAAAGCATGAACAAGAAGAAAGAGAGCACGGGCATGCACAGTTTCCTGTGAAAAAATTTTAACTCTGAAAAGAACCTAAGGAATCAGTAATGTAGCTTAGAAGAACTGAGCGTTGGGCAAGTTGGTATTGCATTGAAAATGGGAATTCGCACAAAAAAAAACACGAACAAGAAGAAAGAGAGCACGGACAGACGTAGTCCGTTCTCTCTTTCTTCTTGTTCGTGTTTTCTCGTGCAAATTCCCATGCACAATGCAATAACCAACTTGTCTGATGCCGGTTTCTTCGACAAAATGAAATTGGCAAGTTTTGTGGGCATGAAATAGAATAAAGGATAGATTTACATGGTGGTCTCTAGGATAGATTCTAACGCTGCATTTAACTTAAAGTTCTACTAATAATAGCAGAAATGATGGTAGTAATGTTTCTTAGGTTCTGGCCCACGTTTACCGGAAGATGCTGCTCCGAGCCAACAGCCTGAAGTGATTGATCTGACCGATCAGATAGACGAAGAACAATTTCACCATTTGTCTCTGATGCTGGATATAAGAAGCCTAAACGTTTTGTCAACTCGTGGCAAGCCAATGCAGTGTTATGTGAGGTAATTATGTTCAATTATATTTGAGTCATAGATAACACCTCTTTCTTTTAAAAATTTCTTATCAGCACATTGTTCGTAGGTTTCACCTACTGTACATAAGCGCACTTAGTCATATCAGGCTTTTTTTTTTCTAGTCAATATTGATTATATTTTTGTGCAGTTTACTCGCGATAGCAGCGACAAGCTATTTTTGTTATCCTTGTTTTTCGTTGAAGTTCGTTATGAGTACACGTTCGTTGTATCGATACCACTTCAAGACAGCTGTTTTTATAATTTTGTGCACGTATAATTTTCTTGATTCTGTAACCATTCTGGATGATTATGTACCAGTGCATTCTGTCCCACGAATGCTTGTTGGTGTGTTTATGCTTTTGCTGCCGGGTTGGCACGACCTAGTCAGGCGACTTAGTCAGCCTTTAGTCGTGTCCCGCAAGGCAAAGTGTAACAATTTTGCCTTGAATAAAATGATATAAAATGAAATGAAAAAACTTTGTTCTGCTAAATACTGAAACTGTTTGTGATACCATTGGGAGTCACTTGGTCTCTGTTGTGGAGTTTTCATCAGCATAAAATTAAACTTGCTCTTTCCACTTACCTAGTGCCCATATGTATTATCCTGCCATTAAGTGCATTATGACAATTTTATTTAAGGCCATGATAGCCACGCTATGGTGGGAGCAGAATCAAGAAGCACTCATGTGCCGTGTGTACATATTTTAGAATACCTGGCGGCTGGTATTGACCTAGAGCACCTCTATCACGGTGTCTCGTAGCGTATGTGTTTCCATGTAGCTTTACTACATGGAAACACATACCTTCATTTGAATTTGGTCTGTAGTTGAAATGGTAAACTTTTTAAAGCAAATTATGAGCCACTTTCTTGCCCAGCTGAGCTGAAAACTTAGTATGGCACTTTATATCAATGTGAACAAGTTCTTTTATAAGTGAACAGTTATAACTCGCTTGCTTTCATCACTGCTCATATTAGAGCACTTATTTCTAAAAAAAACATGAAGTTTAGAGTTTCTGCATGACAGCTCATTGAAATGTTGAGTAGTTACACTCTTAGTGACTGCTATCCTAACCAATCGCTCAGGCAGGCTGCCTCCATGTATTTTTTAAAGTGTCATGGCAATGCAGATCTTGTATGGCCTGTAGCAGATAGATGAGTATAGTCTCAAATTTTTAGGTCAGATGGTTTCTCTAAATAGGGCATTATACACTTTAGTGTACAAAGTACTATTATGTTACTAGGTTGAATACTCACAGTTTTCTCATTTTAGAAATGCTGTTTAGTTCTGTGTGCACTTTATTAACTCAGTGTGCAAAGCTTTGACTTCACTAGAACAAGGTCAATCTTTGTGGCAGATCTCTGCATGCATAGCTGTATTCACATATATTCGGTAACTTTTGTTTAGTTGCTCAATCGACTGGTTTTGCTTGAGTGTCGTTTTTAATTTCAGATATCACTACCCCTTCTTGGGTACCAGCCACGCTTTTCAGTCCCACAAATGGACTTCCGTAGTGCCCAATCTGAACGCAACAGTGGTTGGCGGCTTCAGCACGTACAACTTTGCTGCGACACTCAAGATGGTCGCGTTGGCATTTAAAGAGTGAGCTGGATGATATTCGTGCTCTTGACTAGTGAAGAGTGCATCTTTGTGTGCTGTTTTGCAATTTAGGTTATTGACTTTCAAAAAAAAACAGGAAAGGCACCTTAGGGTGCTGTATTTTTTTGACCGCACAAGAAAAAAATTTAAGTTCATCAAATAGGAAAAATATTAAATGAATGTGTAATGTGTTCAATGGCTTACGTATTAGGTCAGCCACCATCTGGCAGTGTATGTGACATAAAGATTAGTCTTGCTAGAAACTGACTAGCTTGTTCACTGTGGTGCTGTGCATTGCCTTTATGTTAAGCTGCACAGAAGAAAAGCATTGTCCCTCATAGATTTTCTTTCAACAGACTTCCACTTATGGTAGAGATCTTCAGCCAAGCCGAGGGTGGCGATAAGCTATTTGGGACTGCTGAGGTTTCCTTGGCAAGTGTCCTGAGGTGTCCTGCTTCCTCTCTCCTGGTGAGATTCGTATTGGTTATTTCTCTTTTAGTGTAGCTAGTTTTTTGTCAGTTGGTATTGAAGCTATCCTCCTACTTCCCCACCAGTTTTATTTCGTTTCTTTTAAGGAGAGATGCTACTTAAAAAATGCAAGTTTTTTTCCGGAATGCGTATTTTTTTATTTTACTTGCTTTCACAAGTTTAGTTTTGCAACTTTCATGACAAAAAAAAAAAATCAAAGTTGTAGTTAAACACTAGGTAACTTAAAATTGCTTTTATAGAGCACAAGGTGAGTATTAAAAAATATTGTCACGACACAAAAACAGCAGAAGTCATATATAGGAGAGCTCACTGTAATTATGTGCAAGGCACTCGCAAAGAGGACCAGGCAAGGACTTCGTCTTCCTTCCTTGCTGTGCGAGCTCTTTTCTGCAGGTTGAATGCGGCAATGTAAAGAGCTGATTGTCTAGAGTTCCCTAGAAATTGTGACCTGGCTGCTTGCCATTGCATTTCACTTGAGGTGTTCACCAAAGCCACATGCTCAAAATAACCATATTTCCCAAGCCCCTGATGGAAGAAATTATTTTAAAAAGCATATTTTTGCTGCATAGATGACCTTTTATTGCTACGTTTAAAACTCGTTTTTCTTTAGATGCAATATTTGGTAACTTCTTGAGTTGAGACATCATACTTCTGAGGCCAGATCAGGACAAAATTTTGCTCAGAAATTCCTTAACATGTGGAGAGTGCATTTATCTACTTTAAAACCTGATATGATTTTTCTAATTATTATGAACTTATTGTAAGCAATTAGTATGGGATGAGCATTTTAAGACTTCTCACATTACCATTGTTCTTGTTCATTGAAACATACTGTAGGGGGTCCGTAATATGTTCAGATGACGCAGAAGCCTAACTAATGTTCCAACCGCACACAGTCGTACCGTGCACGATTAACGTCCCCAGTCCGTAGCTCGTCTCATTGCAGCTAGACGGGTTCGGGCAAAGTAAGGCAACAGGCTAGGTCAACAAAACGACAATACACACTTTCTTGTTAGTTATTTGCATTCTGCAGTTATTATGGAGAAATATCAGCTCCTATATAATAGAAACAGCTACAGAAGTATGTCCATAAAAAGCTACACTTCACACAATATCATGTTATAGAAAGAGAACTGTGCAACTTACTATAAAACTGATCACATATTTAGAATCAGCATAATGACCTATGTAAACAGAAAAAATTCCATTCTCTGAGGCTACAGATTAAAGAAACATTTTTTTCTAGTAGTGTATCACTTTAACATGCTCGCGATGCACCATTGTCTAACTGCAAACAGCCACCAGACCCCATAACAATGTAACAGAATTACCGATTTGTTTCGAGTCTATTCTTCTACACTTGACTCTGCATTAGTGCCATATTTGTAATGATTGCTTCAGATAACGAGCGTAAGATATGTTATGGTTTTGCTGGGTGGAGTAGCTCTAGAGCACGGTTGCATGCCATTTACGTGCTACAGCTTTTATAACTGAGTATGAATCCTAAATGGCTCAAATACTATTAGGGCTTGGATTTTTCAAAGCCGTCAATGACTAAACTTTTTAAATGAAAGTTTATCTCTATTTTCTTTTTCTGCTTCTGACAGGAGCAAACAAATTTTCAATCTGTTCCACTACAAGTTGTTTTGTATAGCTTTTGGCATTTGATTTCTTTGCTTTGTTACATCAGCAAATAACTTCTCTTTTCTTACACAGAAAGACAATGGAGTGACAGGAGAAAGAAGGATGCAGACAAGCAAAGTTTCGATTATGGACCCTAGAGGGCAAGTGACAGTTCTATATCATTGAATTTTCTGGTATAATATGTAAACATGATTAAAATAATTATAGCATTTATATTAACTGCATGTTCGGGCTGTTTGGTAGAAAAATTTGCAGCGCTTTTCAAGTGGCACATTGTCTGTATCCTGAAAGTGCGGCACTTGTTGTATGAAGGAGGCTGTGAAAGCCGGTTCTACATTTTACCTGGGCAATATGCACAGGTGCATTTTTTTCCTGTTGCGTTTGAAAATCACTCTCTTGTAGTTTGACTCTGCTTTGGCTATACCGATACCTGTCACTCTTGGTAACAATCGACACACTTTTCTTTCTTGGCGTAGCTTATGCCTCTCAGCAGGATACTGGGCCGTCTTGTGCACAATAATTGGGCCCTAGAATGCAACTTGAAAATGACTGGTGGTTTGATGAAATTATGAGATGTGTCATGCAAGTGTTGGCTACACTAGCGAGTGCTCCTGTTTGGAACAGCATGCGCGTTGGTGCTCTGCACCTCCACCATTGCAAATGAGCAGGTTCATCAGTTGAGTGACATGGTAGTGACCATGTTTGCAAAGGTGTGCAGTGTGAGAGTGATTAAAATTTCAATGACAGAAAAAGAAGAGTATCGTTGTGTCACGTGAACTGGTCCCTCGGCTCTGGTATATGAGAGGAGGTAGGGAATGCTGCTCGTTAATGTCGGCAGAGCCAAAGGGTGAGTTTGATTACCCTACTGCCAGTAACATTTGCCTTCTGGTAACATGAATAAGGACAGTTCAACTTCTTCTGTCTTTTCCAATAATTAACTCGTTCGAAAATACACCACTCTTCATGTCCTACCTTTCAACTTCCAGTGTGTAAGCGAATGAGCTCTGGTTTACATTACATCATGAAGTGTTTTGCTGTAACTATTGAGCACATCGTAAAATTCAAGCTTCATGAGCTTTCTTGCAGACAAGCACTTCTCCCTTCCTCGCTGTACAGAGCGCATAAGTTAAATTAGTGGTATGGAACTAATGCATATCAAACAGCGAATATTCATGCAACTTTCTCACTCATTGTGTGTCAGCTCTATTGGAGCATATTTCGGTATTCTAGCCTGAACTGTGAGTAGGTGTAGAGCAGCTGAGCAGAGTACTGAATTGCATTTTAACAATTCACACACAGTCTTCACTATAACACTAGTGGCAAGCACTTTGTTTATATTCTAAACTTTCATGTAATTAAATTTACATGGTTCCTTTTTGATTGAATTTGGAGGTTGGAGATCACCATTCAATCTGCATATAGGCTCTGGTGTGTGCATGAATGAAGCTATGTTGGCACTCTCTGAAGAATGTCGGAGTAGCCAGAGACTGAGAAGGGAGCTTGCTCAAGCTGACTAGAGTAATTTCTTTCTTCTCTCTTTACTGAGCAGGAAAGTGATTGGAGAGCTTCAAGCAGTTGTGTGCCTTGATGACCTCGGTATCACCTCTCTTCCACCCAGAGACCCGGTAACCTTTTTTATAAGCGGTGTGTGTAGCATGAACACTGGCTTTTTTTTTTCCCCTATTTCAGTTTCTTACGTCAACCAAAGAATACCTGATATAAAGGCCTGGATATTGTGCCGGCCTTCCTTGCTCCATTTTTTTTTTGGGCAGCATCATTGAACTATTGTATTGATACAAAACGTATTTAATCAGTATTTGCAGTCTTGTTAATGAGTTAAGAGATCAAAGAGCAGAATCTGTTTAAAAGAAGTATTGAAGGAGTATTATAAGATCAAAAAGAAAGAGAACTAAGGAAATAGCCATAAACAAGACGTCTTTGCAGTTGACTCGCTGAAAGAAGACATCTATGTGTGGGGGCAGACTATGTGACCTTTGGTGTGTTCATATGTCGTTAGGCCCCATGGAAATTCTGACAAAGCTGTGGCAGCTTGCAAGCACAGGGTTCATGCCTCAGGAATCCTCAACCTCTTTGAAACTTTTGTTTGTGATGCTTTGTTGAATGCTATGCTGTTCATCGCTTGTCACATTGAACAGAGGGCTTATGGTTACAGTTATACTAAAGAAAAACAGGCTTGCATTTCTGCCATTTTAATATTGTCTTTGTGCTGTTTTCAGTGCTGTTCCAAATTTTCGTGGTCCTGATAGTGATGGGTGTTTTAATCCTGTTGCAGCCTAGCCATTTGGCTGATGCAGCCAACAAACCTCCTCCGGTACAGGCCGCATCAGAGTCACAGGAGCGGGAAATACTTAAAGTAATGACAGAACTTGAGCTGTGGAAGGAGCAGCAGGAGATTATGTTCAGAGCCCGGGTGAGTGTGTCGGCCTTGAACTTTCCCAGCCGTTCAAATGCTGCACATGTGAAGAGCACATGGCCGCCTCCCTCAGTTAGAATGCATTGGTAGGTCCGTTGGTTTGAAACATTTATAAATGATTGTTACAACTCATTCACCAGATGTACCTTGCTATTCTGATTGAGCTGGGTTGAGTGGAATATTTTACTTGAGTTACTGTACCTGTGCAATTTTTTTTTACAGTTTACATTCTTTAATAAGTTCGTGTTCTGTTGTATTTTGTAGTAGTAATAATCAATTGCTAAAGGTTTATTAAAATTGCCACTTCCCTAACCTTGTTACTATGCTACCCACCAAAACAAAGTGCTACGTTGATACGTGAAACTCTAGACCTCCCTGGTTGCTTTATGATAGCTGGCCACAAAACAGTGAACAAAACACTTTCTCTGTCATATGATTTACTGCTTTCAGTTAAAAGAAAAGGAGGATGCCCATCTCCGTGCTCTTACAGAGGAGTGGAAGCGGCAGGATTTCGAGCGAGACACTGTTCTAAGGCGAAAGGCGAGTTTCCTACAAAACTTCTTGAAAGTATTATTTAACACACAAGCCAGATCGATTGCCAGATCCAGCAATGGAGCTTGATAAGCAGTGCAGCCCTGTCATTGCGCTGCGTCAAAACAACAGCGAACACTCCCCGGGTTTGTTAGGTATGAGACATCCTCACTGTTGTGTAGCAATCTTTTTATAGTGCGGCCTTCGCAGGAGTTGGCTCACATCGAGTGAGAAGGCATCCTTCATGCTTTGTGTGTGGCTAGTTACACAAAGAAGAAATCTGACGAGAGGGGAAGATTAGAAAGTTGCCGAGTTTGAGGTAGCCTTGTGCCAGGCACATTGAGATGTGTTTCCTGAAGCTGCATCTTTGTAAGAGGAAAAGCTTGTCATTAAACTGAGTTGGCAAAACTATTGAAAAAACCAGAATAAATTTCTGGGAAAATGAAAGCTTTGCAGTTGCGAAAAGTCTGTACTTGTTCGGTGATCAAACACAAGGTGATTGCCTGCCCATGGTAGGTGTTCTAACACCTGAGGAAATCAAGAGGCTAATATATCGAAGAGCAAGACAGAATTATGCAACAGCAAAAAGCACAGGGACATAAAAATATACGGAAGGTCAAAGCTGATCAGGCCCGCAACATGGAAAGAGAATTACTTTTGTATGAAAAAGAAAGCTCTCCTTTTACGTGGCAGTGGCCAAGGCTACAAAAGAAATCAGTTTCCTTTGTAGCCTTGTTTTGTGGTGTTTCGGTATCTTAAAGGAATACTGATCACAACGTGTTAGGGCTTGGCAAGCTCTGAGGTTGTGTCAGCCGTCTCCTTGCACAATAAAGTGTGCTGATTCATGTCTGTGCTCGGCCTGTGCAGGGAGAGAATGATGTGTGCTACACACGATAGGCTGCTTCTGGAGAGATCTTTCTTTCCTGCACTTGCTGTTCTGGTTGCATCAACTTCCCACCTGAGTAGCGCTGAATGTTTGAAGCATCTGCCCCAAAAATTGATGATTCAAAAATTATTTGTTGGAATATTATTAATCAAAATAATAAAATAGTTGCTGGGGTTTCATCTTCCAGAAGGCCGAAACCACAACATGGATTATAAGAGACACCGTAGTAAAGGGCTCCGAAAATTTTGAGCACCTGTAGATTCTCGACATGCACTTAAATCTTTAGGACATTGCCTCCATCGAAATGCAACCAGGATTCAATCGGAATCCTGTTACTTTCGGGTCACGCCTCACATCGGCTAAATGACCGCAATATGGCCATTTGCTCCGTCTCTTTGAAGGAATGTTGCAGGGAAGGCAGAATAGGCAAAATAACTACACAGTAGGAATGGGATGCACTGGAATCTTCACAAGCTGCTCAATCTTACCCAATACTACGTGCATGGAGGCGGAAATGCTGTAGGCTCGTGTGCTCAGATTTAGGTTGCACATTAAAGAACCCCAGGTGGTCGAAATTCCGGATCCCTCCACTACGGCGTCTCTCATAATCATATCATGGTTTTGGGACGTTAAACCCCACATATCAATCAAATCAATACTACGTGCACATTACAGGCACAACCTGAAGCTCAATTAATATTTTGAAAAGCAAATGCAATGGGTTTGTGCCGCATATAGTATGTAGATTTGCAATTTAGGCAAGTAGCATGGTTTACCTCATGTAATTTTCTCTTGCTTTTTTTCTATTGACAACAGATAAAAGAGAACAAGAACTAGAGGAGAAGCTGAGGTCACACTTGAAAGAGATTGAGTCACGTGAAGAAGCCCATGCTCGGAGGGAAGCTCAGGTAGGATCAAGTCTTTCACTGCTTGCTGTTTTTTTCACAGCTTTTGTAAGTGCAAGACCCTAATCTTGTGAAACATTCTATTTCTAATGCTCTTTTTTATTGGAGGTTGCATGCTGTTTACAGGTTGTCTGGAATGGTTCATTTTTGGTCATTGTGTGTTGTTATAAGAGGCCAGCTTGCTGAAGAAGAAAATGTATAATAGACTACTCCTTTTAAGACAATTGAGAATCGTCGAAATTTCCTCTCGTGTTAAACAATAAACTTTGCTTAGTGAAAGTCCTCCAAAGCTATTAAAAACTAAGCAAAGATTATAAAACTGTTCAGATTTGTTATATAGTTTGGCATGGTAGTGTATGCCATAAAAATTACCTAAAAAAAGAAAACATGAAGCAATGTGTCACCAGCTGCGTGTTGTACCTAAAAAAAGAAAACATGAAGCAATGTGTCACCAGCTGCGTGTTGTCACCAAGCACCCTTCACTCATGTTACTAAGCATTAAAAGTACACATTCATGCGGTTTGGAATTGTGTTGAGTTTTCAGTTACAGCATGTCTTTAACTTAAATTAGGGCTTATTAAACATATAAGATGTCAGGATTTTCACGTTTCAGAGCAATCTGCATAATAAGACTTTTTTGTGTGTGTGACAGCCGGTTTGGCACTAATGTAACACAGTGTAGTGCTGGCTGCATCATAAGGATGTGCCTTTTAATGAGTTACTTGTCGATTGTCGCTTTTAAATACGAGGCATTTCATAATCGCACCCACTCGCGAATCCGGCCTTGGCGGCAACGACCCCACTGTGCATGCTCGCGTCTCAGTGCCCACTGTCACTCCCCCCCCCCCCCCCTCTTTCTTCCATCTCTCCTTGCAAGGCCGATGCAGGCAGCGTCTGCTAGTAAAAACCAACTGCTCGAGCTGCACAAACGTTCACCTATATGTAGGCACTGGATCGCACATCAACATCCCACCTACTCGTTGAAGAAACGCTTCTCCTTCATTCAATAAATAAAATAATAAAGATGAAATAACAATTAAGCATTCCCAAACCATAGGCAATTATGCAACATTCGCACGATATTCCCACCACTATGCCACGCATTTACTGGAGTCCCCTCCCGTGGGAAGATGCGGGCGGCTTTTTTTCTTACATAATGATCCAACCCGGCAATCAGGTATTCGTTTGCATTTATGTGTTGCCACTTCAGTAGAGAGGCTAGAGGTCGCATGAGTGACGAGGCTTGCCTCTCTTGTTGCAAATTTACATCTAAAGAAGCACCAGCATTACACAAAAAAAGATAGCCTGTGTGACCTTGTGCAGCATATTAATAAGCTGAGATGAAAACGCCACATGATTTTTTCTTTCAAAACTGCTGTGCAACAACTAAGCAGCTAAGCAAATAAGTGACTTTCAGAATGAACAAGGTCAAAGCAGTGTCATGGAAGATTAACATATTTATGCAGCATTTTACTTTAGAACTAGTGTAGTATTGGCTTTCCGATTTGTCTATGTTCATTAAGAAAATATATGCTAGTACATTAAATAAACTGGCTTCTCGCTTTTCACCCAAAATATATGCGGAAGCGTGAATTTATAGAGAGCATTAGTCTGTGCAACCACACTGAGGCTAAGTTTGCACGTAGTTGGGTGTCGATCAGGACACAATACTTCTACAGCTTGTGTGAATGCTTTTGCTCAGGAATAGAGGTTCAAAATGTTGCTTAGAAGTGTGAAATGCTGAAGTATTTCTCTGATTATCTGTCACTGGTAGGTTGGCAGGCAAAAGGTAAATCTTACAGCAGACCTAATGGATTTGTTCGTAACCATTTCACTGCCAATTGTCACGAATTCGCGACATACTAGAAAACTTCAAGCAAGTCACGTAATGCGTTTCACCTTTAATGCAGGTTGTCAAATACTCATGGGGATCTTAGCTTTCGAAATAAAAAAAATCTAGTGCCGCCTCGTCTAGGCTATTATAGGCTAGAACCGATTGTTTTGTAGCTGATGGCGGAGAGTGCGCAGCACGTGCAACAGCTCTCACTTTTTCGTTCTTTCCTGCCAGAGGTGACGCAAGTTCTGTCCTCAATCATGTTGTTTATTTGGTGTTTTTGCACCCAAGGAGTGGCACATGACATGATACGTTGTTCTGCAGTACGTTCTGTGTTGCGGGGTCCTCGCTTCTGCGGCATATGGAGAATTCGCGGCATGCATAAAAGTACGCATTAATGTTGTATTTTAGGCTGCAGAATTATTCAAAGAATTCTATTAAAGCTGGTAAATGGAAACAACTTTTTTCTTTTTGGCAGTTTCATAATTCAGGCGTTAAAAGGTTAACCAAATGCTAAATATCCATGGTAGCCAGGAATGCAGTCGAAGCAAGCAGCTTTGTATGTCTTCTGGTGTTTGACAATAAATTTGTGATCTGGTGCTGCTGTTTATTGATGCAGTTTGATATCGACTTTCTAAGACAATGTGTACAAAATAATATTCGAGGTGATACTGACTGATACTTTGTATGGACACTTTCACAGTTTGAAAAGCAAAAGTCTGAGTTCCAGTTCATGAAGACACGCCTTCAGAAAGAAGCCAAGGAAACACTCAGACGCTCATTAGAGGAGTATGAGCACATGCTGAATATTGAGAAGTGAGTACAGACCTTTTTTTTTCTGTGTTGCTTGCTGCAATGTCAACAGGATCGCTTGCGGTCATGGTGCGAAACCGCCACAGAGTTGGCAAAGTGTGGCGTAGCATACGCTTCTGGGCGCCCCTCGAGATCACAGTAGATACCACTGTTGTGGTTAAACGATTGCAAGAAAAGAAAGCCGCAAAACGCTTTTATGTAGTGCGCGGGCAGTCCAGGGATAGCTTGCAGAAGATAGTGCCATCAACCACTGAAGATGAGTGAAGTGCAATAACGAAGCTGTTTCAAACAGCATGCGCGTATGTCAGTTGCAAAAGGCTCAGCAACCTAACTTCTTTTCCTGCATTACCGCAATTTTTGTTAATATCGAAAAAGATTTCATAAAATTTGCCCCGCATAATAAACGCACCCCAAACTTTGCTCCGATTGTTCGAGGAAAAAAGTGCGTACATTACTTAAGTAAATACGATACACTATAAATAACTGCATTCACTAGCTAGCCTCGTAATGAGTAGCCCATCTTCTTCGAAATCGAAAGCTACTGAATGTCTCTTTAAGCCGTGTGGTTTTATTTGTGAATAAAAAAGCTCAGAAGAATATTGAGACTTGAAGCAATGACAGGTTATTAAACATGGAATATGGCTAGCGCCAACGTTTCACCAAGTGCACTTGTCTTTGTCAAGGTGCCAATGAAGTTTGTCGGAATGTTTCAGCGACATCTCCTCCTCAACGAGCTCTCATTTATCTGTGTATTTTAATGAGCACAGCGGCACACTCACTTCTGATGCAGAGCTGCCTGCCACTGTTAATAACTCCAAATTGTGTTGCATGAGTCTGATGGCTGTACTTTAACTTGCTTTCATATAAGTAACACAATGTTTGGAGGTAAAATCGTCATTTACAGCTTTCACATATATACTGAAGAAAAAAACAGTCTTTCTAGTATTAGCAACCTTTTCAAAATATTAAAATGAGCATTCAACAAGAGAAGATGGTTCGCAAGCCAGAAACAACACACAAAAAAGAATACAGTTGGCGATGTGGCTTTGAGCTTCTCACACCAACTTTCTGTGATGCCTTAGGTATCAATAACACATTGTGGGGTCTAGATCACATTTTCTTATACAGAGAGAACATTTTCTCATAAGGGTGCGAGAGATTTAGCCAACGTAGCTGAAATGTGTTTAGAAAAATTAGTTTATGCCCAGCAGTTGCAATGGCCCTTTATCAGAAAATGCATCCAATAATTTCTCAGGTTCCAATAAAGCTCCTGTCTTTCTTGTTATCTTGGATGTCATGCTGACATTTATATGGAAAGATGTCAGCGTGAAATTATAGTAAATACTTTACCTGCATTTTTTTCTTTTTGTAATGAATCTCTACTCGTGGAGTTAATGACGATGAACTGTTCAAAGAATTATTCATGGATCTAAACAGATTTGTCGTTTAACTTTAGTGTCTTATTAAAAAAATATCACTTAAAATAGCTGAATGTAATACTTTTAAAAATGATTGTGCATAAATTTTCATTTAGTATTTTCTCAGGAGCATAATTTGCTGAGCTATTTGGCAATAGCAGTAGCAGCGGGACTTTCCTGTGGCAAACTGTGGACAACATACTAAGCACAAAGAACAGAGAGCATAACATGAACGCTGTACTGGCTGTTTCTCTTTTCTTTTTTTTTTTTGTTGCATGTGAAAGATAAGATGCATGTTCAAAACGTCACTTACAGTTCAGTCTATATAATGTGAAATATGTCAAGCTGCTCGAGAACTTGAATTCTCACAAGTGCTCTGTGTAGCCAAAGACATTTATTCTGTTGTATTTTATGCAGAAAAAAAGTTCTTGAGCTGGAAGCTGAGAAGCATAAGTTGAAGAGACAGGTAAGATGTGATTTTGCTAACACCTAAATTGAGTGATGTTAAACAGAATAACATAAAATGCAGATTAGGAAGGTTTTACTAGAGACTAAACTGGTGAATTTGTGTGAAGCACTGCCCGGTGTAAGCACACTTTTTAGGTGATAATCGCAGCAGTAGTGTTTCACGGTAAAAAGGGAAGCAACTTGTTTTTTTGGTGACCAAGCTTCGTCAAATGGGTTTACTGCTGATAAAATAAAATCGGTACTACACGAGCCAACACAATATTATTTGTTGCAGAAATGCTTTTTACTTTCACGCAGCTGAAAACTTGTGACGCAGTAGCGATGCAGAATCTATCGCAGAAGCTCATTTGAACAATTTGACAGAAATCTGCATTGAGAATACTTGCGCATAATTCTGGAGCTTAATTTCACTAACATAAGCGATTGCTTGTTTCTTTACTGGAGATGGCTTCATGGACCGCAATGCTGGTAAATGACCATATTTAGCTGGCACATGCCTTTTGCTACAAACCCTAACTTTTGTAAGTGTGGTAAATATTATAAAAATACAGCAACACACTACGAATTTTCGTCTTAGCATAACTGGTGCCAAATCAAAGATTTTGTGGGCTTTGGAATAACTCCAGTGATTTTTGCATTCACTTATGGAACCCTAGGCACTTTACTTTTTCCAGTCCACGATTGTCAAGAAAGCTGCTTTCTGTTTGCCTTTTCTTCGTTCACAAGTTTATTGTGATGTTCCTTGCAGATTTCTGAACTGGAAGCCAAGCTTCAAGAGCGTGAAAGACAGTTTGAAGAATTGAAGACCAGTCAGAGAGACGCTTTCTCGCAAGAACTCAAAGTTCAGATCGACTACGAGAAGGCACTCACCGAGAAGGTAGACATGCCGATCTTCACTTGGCACGCATGGCAGGGCTCCTGTGAACAGACGAATAATGTGCATGAGCTTCTGCAGCTTCGTGTATGAATGTGGACATGTTTATTTACAAAGAAATGTGTTAAAAGCCTGACAGTCTGCTTATAAAATAAATACGATATTGTACGTGTAGCTTTGTTTCAGAAGCCAAGGATTGGCCAATTGCGAGTACTTTTTTTAGTGTGACAGAATTCCATAAGGACAGTAGAGGCCAAATAACAAATAAGACTACAAATTAATACAGTCTTTATCAGAGTATTATTTAAACATAATACATCCTGTCATTGTCATTCTTGTGGCCATGATATTTACACACTTGTCGCTTTTAATCAGCTGTTTTAGATTGAAAAAGCCTTGAAAAAGCTCTGTAAGTTATCGAAAATGAACTATTACCAACTAGCCCAGATTTCCCTTCTTGTTTTAGATACCACTCTATTGTCACTACAGAGATGTATAAAATGCCACTTTTGCGTGACTTCACGAAGTTAGTCTGTGTTACTGCCGTCAGTACAAATAACGTATTCAAACTGGCAGCTTGGAGAAGTCACGTGAAAAAGTTGTAAGTTGTTACGTATTAGAAAAGGGGTCGTTCTGGGTCAACTGATCATTGCTTGGTGTTTAAATCAGAGTTCTGGGTGCATCTGTTGCTGCGTTTCCAGTTCTTTCCAGCTGAAATTATGACTGTAGAGCTCTCTTGTCAGTTTTTACTACTCAATAACTGTTTATCTACATGGATTTGAGCAACAGCATTTTGTTTATGTCTCGCGTTTTGAAAAAGACCCGACAGAAGCAGTCTTCTCAAATATCCTTTTTGTAAAGGTTCTTGTGTTGTTGTTTTTTTTTCTTTTTCTTTCGGTTAAACTTGAAGAGTAGGAACATGAACTATTTTGCACAACTTTAATGCACTAATACCAGTTTGCTGGCTATTTGGTTCATATCATTGAACAGGATCTTTAACACGCATTTCCATTTTTGTCCTGCAAGGTACAATTATTAAAGGAACTGCAAGAAGCACTTCGTCTGAAAGAACAGTACAGAGAAAAGTGCAATCAAGCTGAAAGCCAGCTTGCAGCTTACAAGCAACGTGTGAGGCAGACGCAACAGCAAGAACTACAAGATCGACATGATGAAGTTGAAAGGCTTTATCAACAAGCCAAGGCTCGTTATGAAAGGGGTTCTGCAGCCATGGCAACCTCTGAAGATTCACAACCACTCAGGTGAAAATTCTTCTTTACTCCTTTTTCTCTTTTACAGAAGGGTCCTATTGGCAATCGTATTGGCAACAGAAACAACTTGCGGATGTCCTCGTGGTTGTTTGTTTTGGTGCCACTGCCACCTAGCTTACTCAAACAATCTTTGCAACATTTAGATTCTGTTTTATAAAACGTGCATTCCACACCCTCCCTAGTGTTCGCTGTAAAATCTGAGTAAGCCCTTCTACCCAAACACCCCTCTCCATTTTTCAAGTAATTTGAAATATGTGCCTAACCTTTCCCACCATTTTCAGAGTTTCATTCGCTCCAGCGCTCAGCAGTGTCCCCACTTAGGAGGCAGAATTTAGCACCTTTTTCCCTTTTGCTCATAACCACTACTACTATCCCCATCTATTCCCACAAAGAGGGCGAATAGAAAGAATGAATTCATGCGTCTTCAATAAAGTGTTTCATTAGAAGCACAGGTGTACATTCTTTATTATGAGCAACTCTGCCGCCAGTCATCATCAATTTTGATCCATGACCAAGCAAGGGCTGTGCTCGATGGGTACTGTGTGTGTTTACAGGAGAACACAAGGAGAAACACCTTGCTGGTGCTCGCCAGATTTTTCAGCAGTGTCAAAAAGATAGGGAAGGATTGTTGGACTCCATTGTTACTGGAGACGAAACATGGGTAATTCATTTCAACTCTGAAAAAAAAAAGAAAAAACTTTTAAAAAATGAAGTCACTCAGGGTCAGAAGTCGCAAAGAAGTTCAAACAAACTCCTTCCTCTGGCAAAGTCATGGCCAGTGTATTTTGAAATTATAGTAGTATACTGCTTGATCGATTTCATTGAACTTGGGACATCAACTGAGTTATCAGTTATCGGCAACAAGGGTGAGCTATCCAGAGCCATCAGTGAAGACAGCTGACAGCCAGTGTAACGTTGCTTCATGACGCCTGACCTCACGTCTCCCATCAAACCCAGGACCTTTTGACAAACGTTGGGTGGACTGTCATGCCTCACTCCCAGTTCTGTCTGCACCTCGCGCCTGGCGATTATCACTTGTTCCCCTAGTTGAAGGAACACTTGAGCGGCTAATGCTTCCGGGGTGACAATGAAGTCAAAAAAGAGGTAAAACGCTTCCCCAACAGTTTAGCAGTGGAGTGATGGCAGTGGGTTACTTAAATTGGAGTACCATCAACAAAAATGCATGGAAAAAGATGGCAATTGTGTCAAAAAAATCTTTCCAACAATATACATTTCTATGAGAATAAATAATGCTCATTTGTAACGTTGATGTGAATTTTGTTTCTGCATCAACCTTTGTAGCGGAAAGCCATTTTCCTCCAGCACTTCTCTGGATCAATGGCCGCCAACCGCTCAGTAACACATGTTCAAGTTTGTTTCATGCAGCCCACCAGACGAAGGGGCCTCATTTACGACGCCAGAGAAAACGTCGCCAACGCACTACGCGCCAACTGTGGAGGCCATGCGAGAAAGGTTGGGAGGATTACAGCTCTCGGGTGCATCTTCGCAACCTTCAAGGCACGACCCTAGCTCACCCGTTGTGTTGGAACAGTCGCCACCGGGTGCCTCTGCTGCCTCTACTTCGTCGTGGATGGAGCATATGCGAAGGCTCATTGAAGAGAGAGACACCCTACTCAAATCTGGCGTCTATAGCAAGGAGGACGTAATTATTGTTGAGTTGAATAGACGTATTGCTGACATTGTCAGGAAGCATGTGTGAGCTGCTGAAGGTCAGCAGAAAAAGTTGATAGGTATACGATTCCTATTAGCTGTATATATAACAGAAAAAAAATAAGTGAGGGGGGGGAGGAATAGAAGGATTTATGTGTGCGTGTATAATTTACAGGCACAAGCAATCTTGTTGTTTGAAGATGCATATTGTTTTTGTGCACAAGTTGCTCTTATGGCAAGCAGTAGATCTTACCTTACTATGCAAATAAGCAGATAGTCTTGTAGCGCTGAGGGCGATGCTTGAAGAAATGGAAAAACCAGCTTAAGGAGACGTTCACAAGAGGAGAGGACGACACATACACGCTGGATGTGTGTCATCTTCTCCTCTTGCGAACGTGTCCTTAAGCTGGTTTCTTTGTTTCTTCAAGTACGTAACAACAAGTTCAGCAACATATTCTCCGGCAATGCTTGCTTTGACTTGCGGTGGTCATAGATATTGCGGAACTACAGTAGACTCGTCAAATGGAACATGAGGGGACCAGGAAAATGTGTTCAGTTTAACAAGAGTTCCGTTTATTGAGAGACGTACAGGGCTGTAGAATTCAGGTACGAAACCGATCGTGCTGGAGACAGTTGTCATATTTAAGCAGCAGTTTCGTTTAATAGAGTTTTATTTACTGAGAGTCTGCAGCGACTAAAGACTGAAAGTAGTTGTTTTGAAACTAAGCTTGTCGTAGGCCCTTTGTTCAACTCTCAAGCTCTGCTTTTTAAACACATGCTACTAGGGGTTGGTGACTTTAGTCATACCATGATACTTGTTTGCATTTTTAAAGGGACACTAAAGTCAAATAACAATTTCTGTCTGAGTGAAAGCTCAATGTATGACAGTACCTAAAACAATAATGCCATCAACAGCAGTGCCCTACTTACTGGGAAATTAATGTGAACGCACAAGAACACATGTGCCACAAGCAGGACATTCGCAAAATGATCCCAATGACGTCAGGGTTACTTCTTGCAATAAATCACGAGTAATCGAACTAGCTACACTAAATAAAGAACCTACCGTGCATCAAGAGATGTAATAAAATGCTACTTGTTCGTTTCTGTTTGATTCATAAGAAAAAGACCACCGGACATTATTATGGGGAATGGCATGAGTGGTTCAAAAGTTCAATTTTCGCCTGGTTACACTGGACAGGTCATGCCATCTAGCGGGGCCCAGTTCAATCAAGCACGCCTGCCATCTTGGAGCCAATGACAAGAAATTGTTCAATGGCTGTTGTTGCTGTTGTGGCTAGCGCTACTGTCGCTCTGCTTATACTAGTGTCAGGGGCCACGCAGTAAAGCCGGGCAACGTTGTGCACGGCAACAGTGGTGTGAAAGTTTCCCCTTGAGGCGGGTGAGTTGAAGTGTGCTAATGCGATGTGGACCATTAAAACGTTAGTTCCTTTCAAAATAAGGACTTCCTTGGCACAAAAGCAGCGCTACGAGGTTTCTGGACCTCTAATAGACTAGTGTCCCTTTAAATTAAATCCTATAAGGTGTTCTCAATATAAGATGATGCCAATATTTAAAAGTTTTGCGTTTTGATGCCACTCAATATCGCAACAGTTCTTTAGTCGTACGAAACTATTTTTCATTGCTATGATTTTCAAAGCATAACATTGTGCTATTATGCTATGACGCGTATTCTGGGTTGTTTTGGCTAAATATTACTGCTTAGTGCTAGAAACAAAACACCTGTATTACTGCTGTCTGAAAGGCTTTTTTGTTCTTTATAATGTCCTTCTAGAGGGCTTTATTTCACAGTTTTCATTATTAATTAAACATGAGATGATCGTACACATAAACAACTAGACTTAAAGGGACACTAAAGGCAACTATCAAGTCGACGTTGATTGTTGAAATGGCAGTCCTGAAACCTCGTAGTGTTACTTATGTGCCAAGGAAGGGCCTATTATGAAATAAAATTCACGTTTTAGTGCTCTGCATTGGGTTAGCGCACTTCAAGTTACCCCAAACTTCTTTTCTTCAATTCTGTGCTGACAGGCTGTGTGAGGAGATTGTTCGCTTGAAGCTTCACTGTTTACTTGGTTGAAAACATGAATTTGTTTGATGCAGGCGGAGAGCATGGTGCTCTGTTATGAAAAGCAAGATGTGCAAGTCAAGGACCGTTTAGCAAAGGAGGCGGGCATCTTGACATTTATGCTACAAAAACTGACGAATGAAATTAAGTGCAAGTGAACTGCACCTAGTGGTTCTGTTATGTATAAAAATTATGTATAAAAATGTTGGTTGTACAATCGATACTCAAGAGTGTCAAGGTTGTATGTGTCGTGGTGCACGAAAAATGAGTCCTGCACAAGTGTGGCTAAGATGATTTTAACCTTTAATACATAAATACATAATTAGGAGAGTATTTAGATTTACTGTAAAATAGAAGTTGAATAAGTTGATTGTGCAAGTTATTTACCTTGTTTTGTTGTTGATGCAAACAGACTTGTGCCAAGCAAAACGATGAGTGCCTCATAAGTGAAAATTATGATTGTAAATATTAATCTAAGAGGGATGGTTTTACCTCACTATATGTGTGTATAGAGAACAGAGATACTCAAATTTGCTCACTTATGGAGCCGCTGTGTCACATCTTAAGCTTTTCGAAACCAATGGCATGATGCATTGTTATTTATGTGTGTCACTTCAGGTTTGTAACTGCTCAAATTTAATACTGTATAACGTTGAGAATACTGTTTTGTCCAAGCAATGTTGTATTATGGTGTCAGTGAATTATCTTTTTCTGTCCTCTATAAAAGACAAATATGTTGATGCATACAGAATATTCTCTATTAATACAAGTTATTTTGTCTGACATTGTGTTGTCAGCGGCATGTATATAAGTAAGGTCACACACCATCTTTCTCTGTGCATGTTCGGGTGCTGTACGAGTGTGTGATGTAATTTATATATATATAAAAAAAGAATGTTTTCAACCATGCTTAGACCAAGGCCTTGTTCAGATTTGCATTATTTCAAGTGAGTGTGACTTCCTTTGTCTGCAGTAAATGTGTGCATATAAAAGTTAAATTGCACTGCACACTTATATTTACCATAATTGGTAAATTGGTGGATGTATAGCTGAATGCCAACACACAGCAGATGTCCTTAGTGGGCAATCCAAGTATTATCAACTCTGTATTAAATTTTTCTTGCTGTAGCGTTGTCCACAAAATTTGAAATTTATATTTCAAAGGAGAACTGCTGAAACATGGAGGTACACCGAATGTGCTCGCTCCTGAAAATTGAACTTTACTGAGGTGCTTGTCCACTTCAAAAAGGACGAATCACTGTTGTAAGCGAACTTCACGTGTAAAGAGTCATGATATAAATGGAAGTTATTGAATGCATTTAACGTACAGCAATAAATGCTCATTTCAACAGTTGTGTCTATCTCGTCCTCTTCTCTGTGCCTTGCATCATTACTTTTCACACAACAATCGCGTGTTCGAGCTTTTCAGATAGGTAGCAAGCATGGGCCTACATTAGCCCACTATGGCAGTAACTGTATAAAAATATCTGTGCATGTGAAACAGAGTAAATATATGCACTACATGCGAAAACGTTTACTGAGCATGGTATCTCTGAACAGAGTGGTTTATTGTGATTTACGAAAAAATACAACTATGTGAATTTTGGATTATTAGGGGCAAAAAGTTATGGAGTTGCCTTCTATTGGGCGCACCTGTCTTGCGCGCTATAGGTAGGTTAACGGCGGTGCAATCATGTTTGGCTGTCGGCGCTCTCCGAAAACACGTGGAAACCATCTTAGCATTTCTGTGACTGCTTTGAAAATGAGGGAAGTTTTACAACAAGAAGTACAGAATCGTTGTCTATTGCTATTTACAGAATATGTACAGTGAGTACACTCATCGCGTGGAGGCTGTGATGGGATATCCATGAATAAGCTTTTTGCTTGAAAGTGAGGCAATTGTTGAAGGGTAACAATGTCAAATACTTGCATCGGTCTGTTAATATAAGTGGTTGATTGATTGATGGGTTTTAACATCCCAAAACCACCATATGATTATGAGAGACGCCGTAGTGGAGGGCTCTTGAAATTTCGACCACCTGGGGTTCTTTAACGTGCACCCAAACCTGAGCACACGGGCCTACAACATTTCCGCCTCCATCGGAAATGCAGCTGCCGCAGCCGGGATTCGATCCCGCGACCTGCGGGTCAGCAGCCGAGTACCTTAGCCACTAGACCACCATGGCGGGGCTGTTTATATAAGTGGGGCATGACAAATTGACACCTCAGTCAAGGAAACTGGGTAGGCCCTGTTTGTCCCATGCATTTTAGGTCATTTTGAGGTACCGTTTTCTTGGTGAATAAAAGGGGTGTTCTCTAATCCATGCATCTTTTTCTTCCAAAATTTTCGCTCTTTTTTAACTGAAGCAAGTTTATTTAAATCAGACTATGAAAATTTTTGCAAATTTTTAACCACAAGGACCTAAATGTTATGTTAATTGGCATGAAAATTTGTAACACAAAACAGTTTCTATTCTGCTTCATTAGCTGTAGGCACTCATGCAGAATATAAGAACAAAGAATGAATTGGCTATCTTAAAGAGCAAAAAAAGTAATGGTACTTAAGTAATAATAAACATGGTTTTGAGATAACAGAGTTTAACATTGGAAAATGGCTGAAAAGCAATGACACTTTGTCATAAATGCCGTTCAACTATTTTATTTAGTAGCTAAAAGCTTGTTAATCATTCCAAAAGTCTATTTTTCACTTTAGGGCCTCTCATAATTCTTGCCTTGCTTCTTTTCTGAGCTGTCATGCAGCTCTATCTGCAGCGTATCATCCAGTGCAGTCGCCATTTTCCAGCAAACCGACTGTAGTGTGGCCAGGTTTGAATCCTAACTATTGCATAATTTAGGTGCGTGAGATACTACGGTCATTAAATGCAAGAACAATATCCTATGTCGCAATCCTTAAATATTTGAACCTAAACATAGATTCTAAGCCGCAATTACCATTAATTCAACACTTGCACTGGGCATTTGGCTCGCGCTATTTTGATCTAATTGCTTCAAAAATAATAATCATATCCATTAGAGCATACCTCTTGTCACCCTGCACGTGATTCACCTTGAAGGACACTGAAAAGGCTAAGAGGTTCACCGATGAAGAGCTTGCCGATTGAGCATTCAGCGCCTCAGTACGTCACTGACATTTATTCACATTTACTGTATGAGTTGCGACAAAATGCACACTTGCTGAAGATTTTCTTTACCCTCAGCATCTAAACTTATCGACAAGCACGACAAACTTAATAAGGCGTAATGTAGCTTGGAGCTGAAAGTGTGCGAGGAGATGCGCTTCGCACGCTAAGTGTCAATATAAAGGTGCACAGCATCTTCAGACTGTCTTATAGAAGTTACCTGACAATTTTACATACACAGCTGGCTTTTGACAAGCCTTTTGGCTTTTGTACATCAAGTTTTTTTAGAAACATAGTAAGCACAGAGCGCATACGATAAGCTTTGTCCTAGGGCGAGTTTTCGCCCACGACTTGCTTTTGGAAAAGCTGGGTTTGAGACGCAAAAAATGCTCTTTTTCAGAAAAGCATGGATATAGACAATATTGTTGCAAATATTCCTTCACTTCACAATGGTGATGGTTGCGACACCGCGACAATATGCGCAAAGAGACATCCTTCACAAATTAAAAAGAAAAAAAAAAAGTAATGATATATTCGAATTTTACCCTACCTTATGCAGCCTCAGCTTCTAAAAGCATTTATAGCAGCATACACCTTGTAACTGTTGTGCAGACGTTATCAAAGCTTTTCGGAAATTTACACACAGCTAGAACGACATCATGTAAGCTGCCCTCTGTGGGAATTGAGGCTGGCTCATTGCCATTGCACGGGATTTTCCGTCTGTTTCTGCCTTCCACATGTTCTAACAAGACTCTCCCCTCCTCCACGGTCTGTAGGCGCTGCGGGAGCGGGAGTGACCAACGTTATTGGAGTGACGTTAACGCCTCTCACCCAGAAGCAGATAACGGCGCAGTGCACAAAGTCTCTCAACGTTTAGCACGTGCACGGCGGGAGAGATAATGATGATCCTTGATGGCTTCCCTCTGGACAAGGACTAGCATACGTTTTCTTTCCATCCGCCAGCTCCCTTTGTTCTTGGAGCTCGCTCGGACTCGCCAACGGTGCTTTGCACCCATTGCCCCTTCTGAATGATAGGTCGAAGAGCAGAGCGGTGTGTTCGCGCATAGTCATACTACGCCGACCCGCACCTCTCAAAGCCAACGTGAGGGGAGTTTTCCTCGCTTGAGTTTTAGATCGGGCCCTGTTTTCCCCGACCGTGAGAGCGTGCAGCATAGTCGCAAGGGCCTGCTTTTCTCAGCGGCGTGTCACCGTGAATCCCTTTGCCCACCGAGACGTGCTCGTGGCACCCTTTGTGTTGTACTTTCGCCCGTGGCGTGGGTAAGCCTTGTTTGCTTTCCCGCCGCCTTTCGCAGCAGACGCTGTACTGAGTTATTGGTGTTGCCGCAGGAAATTAAGTATTGCAACTTGTTTGAGAGCAGCGCTGTGTACATGCCACGCTGCACTCAATGCAGTGTCTGTCCGAATGAACACCTTGCAGCGGCAATACTAACGCAAGGCGACAGTGAGCGCGGCCCTGTTGCTCACCAAAACCGAACCTGTGGTAGTGGCCGTACTTCTGCGGGATACGTGTACCCTACACCTTGTAGAACTCTTGTACGCTAATAATGTAAAAATGACCTGAACTCTGCACCAATGTCAAAAGGGCTTTAGGGGCCAGCCAAGTATGGTACATCAAAACTAGGCACAGGATCACTTCAGAACGTATAGATGCCCAAGTGCAAACTTTCTTTCCCAGTACATGCGATGCAGAGCTCACACTTTTTGCCACTAAATCTGCACATCAGTTGAGACAATTGGTCCTGCTAAACACCATCTGTTGAAAAACTTCAGTAGCTACACTTTGTGAACTGGATTTTTTTGCAAACTTAGCCAAGATAAATAGGAACTTTAACAGACATGTGTATTTATATAAACAATCAAAGTTCAGGCTGATATCTTGTCAAGGTAAATTAACCTAGACAGCATAATAGTGAATAGCCACATTACTCTCGATCAACTTTTGTAAGCACCAGTATAGTCAAGACCGTGTGCCATCGCAACTAAAGAAAGCACCCATAATGTGCAGTAACGGCACCCCACTTTTCAAGAAACAGTGGTGTATATCCAGATCATGGTCACATTTCATTTTGCAATAGGAAAGAATTCTAGAAGTAAAATTTATCTGTTTAATGGTTTGAGAACAATGAAACAAGCTGATGGTAACGAGAAAGTGAAATTAGACTGCTGGACAAGTTATATGTATGCACTGCTCGAGCCCTTGGCACATTCTCTCTCTTTCACACACACGCACACTATATAAGCACATATCTGACACTGCTTAGCATATCAAAATATTCACTCTCCAAAGTCTTCACATCATTACACCATTTATTATTGTGCTTTGGCAGCGCCAGACAGAAAAGTGCACATTGTTTGCATAGTAACACTGCCGTAAAGTCGGACAAACAATATAATATATTTATTCACTCACTCATCCATACAGCATTGTAGCCTGTAGAAGAGAAAAATAGGGGCATGTGAGGAGAGGTGGGGAAAAGAAAATGCTACAAAGCTACACTGTAAAATGTAGCAAAGAGTGACACATAGGAACATGAGAAGGTTAAGAGCAGGGAGACTGTTGGGGGAAAAAAAAAACTTCCTTCAAAAGCCTGGCAAAACACTGGAAGCCATGAGTCCATAGGCAGCAAAAGACTCGAGGAAAGGGCACACTGCACCAGGATGGGAAACAAAAAATAAAGTTCAGAAAACAACTTTCGAGGAAGAAAGGTGCTCCATCACTGCCTGTTCCAATCAACAAGCTGCCGCAGACCTCTTTTCATCCACGTTGGATTTGTACAGTATATACAGTCGAGGGCAAAGGTGGCAACCGCTGCATAGCAACAGGACACCATACTTGACATCATCTAATCACATGTCACTCTTGATCTGTTCCACCTGGGTAGGGGCACTTGCTTCCTGGATTGGCCTCCTAAAGAGCAGGATGTGTGGCTCTGCATAAATGGCAAACAAAACGCCATTTGAGTAAAGTAGAGCCATTTGAGACGACGGCTCAGGGTGCTTGAAAAGCCTTCCATAGCCTACATATGTTCATGAAAGAAGTCGTGGTTAACCCTTTAAATGTTGCACATACCCTAGAATACAGAATCTGCTTGACTAAGTTTGCAGAGAGCAATGCTCTAGTGCTATCTAATGTTTTGTAGGGAAGCGTGCACACATGCTTCCTTTCCCTTTTGCAGCAGCCTAGTCTTTAGGACACGGTGGTCCCCTTAACCTTAAGACAGACAATGAAGCCTCTTTCGAAGGGCCGTTTACCTCTGCGTCCGGCGCGTGCTACATCCCCCCCCCCCCCCCCATTCTCAACTCGCGAAACTGGTACTGGTTACTCTCCCTCGGAGTTACTCTCCTTCAAGTCATTACTTGAAGATATACTGGAAGAATAATTGTTGCGGTTTAGTATCCCAAAACCACCACATAATTATGAGAGACTCCGCAGTGGAGGGCTCCAAAAATTTCTATCACCTGGTTTCTTTAACATGCATCTAAATCTAAGCACAAGGGGCTCAAGTACAGGAAAAGATAAAAAGATATTACTGTCAACTGAGAGACTACCTTTAATCTGCTTCAAATAGCGTCTGCAAGCACCATTCTTTCCACTTCTTTCTACAGTACTATAGTCAAGGTATTGCATTATACTGCAGCATGGTGTATTTCCAATTAGACCTCTAATAATGTTACCTTGTGCTGACTTCCACCTTACTATTTTCCTGATGAGTCAGAACTCTGTCATCCTTTCAAGTCTTGCATGCTGTTACATGTGTTATTGAGAACAAATCAATAAAATAATAGTGTGAATCAAGGCCAATAAACATTTTTTTTTTGAAAAATCAAGACTTAATGAAAAGGGATTCAGACAAGCTCCTTGGGGCCCGCCTCATTCACCCAAAATTTTGATGAAGTGGGAGACATTGTGGGGAAATGTTACTTCAAATATTGAGGAAGTAGATCCCCCCCACCCCCTCCCCGAAAACCGAAACACGAAACCGTCCACAATAAGCTGGTCAGATCGAGTTATTTAAGTATAACAGACAAGCCTGGACCTAAATTAACGATTACCGAAGGGCTCATATTAGTCGGAGTCAGCATACAGACAAAGTGACTCGCGAAATGTTATGCCACAAATGCTAGATAAAACAATGCATTACGTCCGAGTTAATCCGGCACTATCACCGGTTTGTGGAGTGGGTCGTTTCCACGTAACAATTCGAAGCTCTGCTATGTTTGCTCTACACATGAAGTACGCACATATAAAACATACAGTTATTGCACCCGACATGAAACAAAACGATGTCGCGACAGCACAGCAAGCGTGCCAAAGCTTTTGCTGCTGTTCAGAGATCACAGGCGAGCTCATACCTGTCAACTATTATGCGGCGCAGTACAAACACGCCGAAAAAATACAGTAGAAAAATGATCAAAACATTAAGCACGGCTGCCTTCTCAGTGAAAATATAAATGAAAGAACATACTCATCATCACGGGGCCATGAGTCATGAATAATCGTACTCGGAGAACTCACCAGGCTCGTGAATCATGTAGTGCACCCATCCTTGACTCTGCTGCACGCCAATTCCTCGCCATTCACTTTCGGTCATCAGATGCGCCTTGGGGACGAGCTTGGCGATTTCTTTTGGTAGGACTACATGCCTGCAACGGAAGGCAATCGTAGTGGTCACTACCACTGGCGACTATCGCAGACTGCCGTCGTGAACACTAGCACTGCCACTGGACGCGCCGGACGGCCTAGGAGGCCCAGACAACACGTAAATCATGACGACGCAGTGAAAACTGGCAAAGCACGCTTCATGGGGACGCCTAGAAACTCGCAGCACCAAAAGTCGCGCCTTAATTACAGAGCGGCGGATAGTGGTCCGCCATGTCAGCTTCGAGCTGCCGGCGTTCGAAAGCACGGGAAGCTGCCATTTCCTTACCTGTACTCAAACTTTTCATCATAATACTTGTCCGAGTAGTATATGTTCTTGTGTGACATCGTGCGCAGGCAATTCTTTAGCGTCAATTCCCCAGGAGAACAAAAGCAGGAAAAACTGAGACCGCCAACCAAGCGTCGACAGCTGCGGCCAGCGTACCGAACCAGACCGAACTTTTGAATATCCCACAGCTGCTTCGATTGGCTCGTACGGTCCGCGTGACCTCGTGAGTGACTTCACGTGACGTCACACCATCACTTTACCCTCTTCTTCACTCTCACGCGCTGAGAGGTATTTCGTGCGATAATTATCGTATCGTAGAAGGATAATCGGTGCTAGAAAGAAATATGAGCCGTATTATAGGCATAAAGAAGGCAGCACAATACAATATAAAATAAAAATATAAAAACGATACAGAGCAACAGAGTAACAACCAGAGAACAACTGCGGAACTGTTGTGTGATACTGCAGGCCGGACATGTAGACGTTGTTTGGTGATTTGCGTGTCTAATTGTCAATGATTTGTGATCAGAGTGACAGCTGTGCGGCGACGTTGGACTAAACAGCCGAGTAGCGTATTGCTGTATTCCGTCTCAGCGCGAGTAGTGTGCTTACGTTCAACGCAGCGTTTGTCACTGCTTCTGAGTGATCGAAGTTTTCAAAGACGGTTGGGCAAGGAAAACTAAATCGATACTCCAGAACTGTGTAGTTTAGTCACACTTGTTGCGACGGCACTGTAAGGCTGGACCGGATCGAAAGAGAAATCTGGCGTTCTTGTTCCGCTGTGTGAGCCATGGGTGAACAGTGGGTTGGATGCGTTGTTGTGGTCGACTGCGGGGACATTCTCGGCACGTATCAAGGAAAGATTGAAAGTGTCGATACAGACAAGCAGCAGATCGTTTTATCGCAAGCATCTCGAAATGGCATCGAGTGTCACGTTCCACAAGTTACCATCTGGTAAACAACCCCTTTGTGGCATCCTTCTACATCCCGCAAGTTTTGTCGCGGTGCATTACGTCAAAGTCTGAATCACTTGGCACGTCTGTAGACTAACAGATACTTGAATTCAAAGATGTACAGCCTGATCTAAAGCAAAACTTGCCCGTGTTTTCACCTTACTTTTGTGTATCACATCGCGACTGTATTCGCTAAATGTCGCACTGAGGTGATATATGGGTTTTGTAGTGAATTCACACGATACGAAATACTTTGTTTTTCAAAGCATCCCGAGAAGCGCCATCCCACAGAGCATGGAAACTTTCTGCGCGTGGAACCAGCGGACGCAAGTCGATCGCGTAATCATTATTGCTTTCCGCCTTAAACCTCGTGTGAACAATTGTACTGGAATTTTCAGCATAATACATGCATGTTAGTAGCTGATCGACGTGACAATGGGTGTCGGCAGGGGGTTGCGTAAGGGGCATTTGGTCCCTTCAAGCATCACTAGCACTTGCTCCCTCACGGGCTACCATACCTCTTCGCACATTGGCGTGCAACACAGCGTTGCACCCCCCCCCCCCCCTTTCCCAATGCAAAATCTTTCTGACGCCCATGGACGTGACTAGTTAAACTCAACTCGGGAGACTGTGCGCCGGTGGTGGCCATATTCTTTAATTGCAGTCGGCGTAGATTTGTGTGACTAATTACACGATTAATTGCAATCAATTAACTTCGTTATTTTGTAATTGCACAATAATTTTTATTAGGTAACACCCACTGTAGTTCAGGTATATATTTTTTTATGTATTAATGTGTAATAAGTTACTTTATTACAAAGTGCTGTAACAGTGAACACAGCTTTTCGGTACTGGCATGAATCACAGAGCAATGCCTACAGTAAAATTGTCTCAGGAAAATGATAGGTGTAACCTCAAGGGCCAAGAACAGAGCAGAGTTGATTGGTAACAAACAAGTGGGAAGGACATCTTAGTAGAAATCAAGAAGGGGGCAGGGCATGCAGCACGAAGACAGAATAACCACTTGTCATTGTGTGTCACAGACTTAATCCCAAAAGGGGGCAAGCGCGTGAGGTTGAGGCAGAGAGTTAAGTGGGCAGATGAGATTAGAAAGTTTACAGAAATAGCAGGGCCACATCTCATTATGTAGCGCAAAAAGTATAGACTCAGGACAAGGGAAGGGGGAGCACTTACTGCAGCAAGCACAGGAGCAGGGTCTGTTGGCAAAACGTAGGAGAGGCCTGTGCCCTGCAGTGGGTGCAATCAGGTTGTTGCTGCTGATGATGATTATGACCCTTTCAGTAGTGGCATGAACAGTCTCGCAGTTGCACATGCATGAATAGGAAAACCAGAGCACTTTGTATTTGTTATCTCATTCCAGTAATCTACGAGATCTTGGTCAATTAATTGAATTGGTGCTTCAGGTTTTTGTTGGCCATACCATGATAAGCTTCTCTAAGGGTGTCTAAGCCACAGAGAAGAGGTAGAAGGCAGGAAGGTTGACCAGTCCAGGATAACCGGTTCGCGAGTGTACACATGGGAACAAGATGGTGAAGGTTGAATGAGGGAGAAGAACAAGTAGACAGAAAGATAACACACAAAAACACACAGTCAGTCACAGTCCATCACTTTAGCCTGGTACACGACATTAGTGTCACAGCCGCTTGTCCAAGTTTGTTTTTCTGAAAAACCTCAGTAGTTTCTTGGTTGCCTTACAAGTATCTTTCAATTTCTCAATGTTTGCAGATCTGACTGCATCCTGTCTCTATGTTAATATTGATACATCCCTTCAATCTTCTGCAATGGCCTGGCAAATATGTCTGTGTTGTTTTTTGTGGTGATGTGCATGCACACTTGGATTTCTTCCAATGATTGCTTTTTTATTTGTTATAGTGCTCAGGACATTGTTGACCTGAATATCGTCAAAGCTGGTGGCATCCGGAGTGAATCACCTGCTGTGTTGCAAGAAGTTAACGGGGCTCGGAAAGGTAATTGTTATCACGTGGTATTTCCCTGCTCCCACCACGAAAGCCCAGTAACTTAGGTATTTTAAATTCATTAGACAATGACAAGAATGTTCTGAAAGTAAAAGAAATCACTTTGGCTCTAGTGGTCAAAAAACTACGGTCTTAAGTGTCTAACCAAGAAATGGACATTTATGTCCTCCAAGTACATATGTACTGAAGTAACTTATGCAAATCTTAATTTATTGCAGGACATGCGCATATCCTCTGGATCTGTGTTTGAAAGTCCTCATTCGTGACTAAGGTGCCAAATAAAATCAAATTCAAAAGGCTTTGCACATTTAGTATGGCACAGTCATTGATAGTTTTTCACATTGAACTCTATCCAACCAAAATTTGTGTTGTGGAAACTTTGGAGTTCTAGTGTGTTAGCAATACACTTTTCTGTTACAGATACCAAGAAGAAGGTCGCAGTTACTCCCAAGAAAGCAGAGGGGCAGCGGCGGGCACTGACGGGCGCCATGAGGGGTCGTGACGATGCCTGCTTCAGTGCCCCAGTTGATGCTGCTGTGCTGGAGCAGGACTTTGACTTCGAGAAAAACCTGGCTTTGTTTGACAAGCAGGCAGTGTTTAGCGAGATTGATGCCGCCCTGTCACGGCCTACACTGTGCAGTGACTACTCTGCACAAACGAGCAAATCCGGGGTGCACATGGTCGGCACACCGCCCAGCTACCGGTGCGATGAGAATATTTTAGGTGGAAGTGCAATCGAGTCCATGTGTCGCATCCGAGTGCCTGGGAAGCAAGAGATGAATTATGTAACTGGTGAGTTTGGGGGGGCGTGGTGACGGGGCCTAGCGAGAACTCTTCATGTTTGCAGGATAACTTCTTGGGCAAGTTGGTGTTTGATAAACGTATTTTGTAGTAGTGCAGAACTAAAAAAAAATCAAAGAGGAGAGGAAGCAGTCCTAAATGCATTGGTCTCATTGGCTTTACTTGTACACAGGGTGTTTCGACAGCTTTGTTCCTCACTGTCCAGCAAAGGAAATAAGGAATTTCGCTCAAGGGTGAGATGTAAAACTGCGAGTGGCAAACTACAGCAAGTGTGCAAAAGCATGCACTTGTTCATTGATGAAGTTCACGCTGCGCTTCCAAGTTGACATGTTGGGATAGCTGTTACACTGAATGTCTTTGAGTGTTGAGAACCATTTGTGGGTGCTTCGACTCCTTTTCAGCCACAGCCAACCTCTGAGAACTGCAGTACACGAAGATCTGTTAAGGGGAAATGCTACTCGAAGACACTTTTTCTTTAATATTCACCCTAGAGCCATGAAACTTGAACTGTTTATGGAACTTTGTATGCTGATTTCAAATATATAATTAGTTTTCTTGTTACACACTTTTAGCTCAGCAACATGACAAAGTGAAAACCTTAACCCTTTTGCCCCCCTCTTTTCATCCCTAAAATTAAAGTTCTGTAATTTTATATCATTCATAGTTCATAATGCTTCAAATAAAGTGTAGAGTGCAAATAACTAATTAGGAAGCACATAGAAAATATGTGATATGCGTGAAAAAAACAATAGACGTAAAAAGTCTATATTTCACCTATCCTAGTAAAGGTATTCATACAATTTTTTATTATCCAATAAAATATTGAAGTTTAAACTAGATAATTGCATTTGTCATACTTTGGAAAAAATTTGGGTGAAATTTCCTGCAGATCCGAGCACTAGAAGTGCCCGAAAAAGGAGGGGCACATTGGAAAAAATGGCAAAATTTGTGTTTTGAGAAAAACTAGTTTTAAAGTTAAAATTGACTTTTTAATTATGAAAGATATTATTAAATCAGATGAAATTTGCACACCAAAAAGAACAATCTTTCTTGTAGTGGCCACTGTGACTAAATTACGCCAGCGCCATGAGTTTGTCCCTCTCGGCGTTTTCGAGCCGACTCCTCACAGACATTTTGCTCACAGACAGGGCCATGAAACGCTTGCCAAGCTTCCGCTCCATCCGGCAGAGCCTTGTGTCAACTGCAAGCTAGGAAGAAGTTCGACAGGACTGCGAAATCCAAACTAAGTCCAGTGTCATGCCATTTTGCAGCCATGTTTGTGCTACATACCGTCGTACATCGTGGCAATGTCGTCCCTGCTAAGTTTTCTCACTGCGAGCTCTTTCGACCTCTCAAGATTGGCGCTAGTGTCATCCATCGCCACACCACGAACTTTCCGGCTGACGGGTGTGAATGACTTTTGATGCATTGGCTTTTGCAAGCCAACAACTTCCGCAAATCGGACCAGCTGCTCGTAGCCTATTCCTACAGAGCGCGCCGCACAACGGCTTTCACTTGCGAGCAAATCTTTTTTTTTTTCATTCATAACAGAGATAATTACACGAAAAAAAGCATTGTTGAGCTGCGCTTGCTCGACAAGGCATCGATCCCTGCAAATAGGTTTCACGGCACATACAGGCGCGCAGCGGCCAATGGCGGTCCCCGATTCGTACCATATGATAAGCTAGGCGCAGGGCGCTTGAAAAACGCGCAGAAGAGTGATTCTTGTTGTTCTTTCCTGCACTACATCAGCGAGAGAAACTGTTGTTATTTAAAAATTGAGGCTCGACTCTTCGACTCATGCGATCAACAATGGCTAGCGGCGGCGCATTATCGGCGGCAAGGTGCTCGAAGACTGCACACTTTCGACCTTTTAACAGGCACCTTGTGCTTTTTAGATGAAATTTTAAAGCATTCCAGTTAACTCTCGACCTGTATTACTTTTTCATAACAGTAGAGATACTAATCCTTATCAAAACAGGCGAAAATAAAAAATCGGTAATTTTGAAAAAAACTCGCGTTTGTCGGCCCGCATCTCCCCTTAAATGGAACAACTGCCTCTGATGAGATTGGTTTTGTGCTTGTGTTCTGCTCCCCTGTTCATCTCTCAGTAAACAGGAACTCCTGTTAAATGGAACATATTTTCCCAGTCCAGTCAGGTCCCATTTATGTTGACAGTTCACTGTATAATTATATGCTTGGTTCAATCGATCCTATTCCGATGGCATGAATTTTCTTTTGACAGCCGTAACATCTCTATGCAAAGTCTTGACCCATCCTTTAAAGGGGTCATGAAGCACCTGACAAGCTTGCTGAATAAGTACATCCTGAGGGCAGCAGACATGGCTACGAACAGCTCAGCCAAATCTTGCGGTCATGCAGGGCAAGGAAAATACGCAAGCAGATCACAAAGTTGCAGTTTTCTCAGGTGCACTCGTTTCACATACAGGCCGGTGCTTACTTTCTTCGCAGCTGCTGGCACCTGCTCTTTGACATTGAGCAGCAGACTTACGCATGCTATTGGCCCGTAGCCGGCATAAACCAAAAGCGGCGTTTGGATAAAATGCACTTCTTGCCATGGTTTGTTGCCACGTGGGGCACTGCACTCTTATTACTTAGTATAGCTCCACTCACATGCAGGGATTGCAACGGGAGAGAGCAACAGTGTTTCACTAGAAGCCCCTCAAGGTCATGATGCATGCTGACAAATATTCTCTACACCCGTGCCAGCTCTCTCTGTGTAGCTTTGAGCGTGCTCGTCAGGGATGAGAAAAGAGAGAAAAAGCTAAAAGCGTGTGACATCTCTAACTCCGCTCATTCTTTTCGGATTTGAGTTAGTGGGTAATGGCTAATAGACTTCGATACTCGTATCATTCGGTGATTATTTTGAAAAGTGGTTTGTGACATCTTCAAGAAGCTATCGCTTTAGAAGAGTTCATGTTATTTGTAATGTTATGGTACAGGGAAAAGAAGATTTAGGATGACTGCGAGTTGGGCGTGTTGGTAAAGGTTCATGACGAAACAAGCGCTAAAAATACACACGCTCTCCGAGTGTGTGTAGCTGTCTCTGCACCACTCATGCCCGCCATAAAAGCATCTCGCGGCTATCTTTTCTCACAATTGCAATTGTTATACCGCAACATGTCCTCTCTGAGTGTGTATTTTGAGCGCTGGTTTCACCATAAAAAGAAGTTATTGAAAGAGGCATTGTTAGCTAGTCGAAATGATTAACGAAGCCATGTGGCTTTATGATGTTCTTTTTGCCATGTACTGTCTGGTGATGCGGCTGCTTTTTCATGTTTCAATGCAGACACAGGTTTGCTAGTGCCAAGTGTGAGTCTGCAGTTGCGCCAGCAGATCCTGGAGGCTGCTGTGCAGTGTGGTTACAGTTATGAGCGACAGCTGGAGATGCTAGGCCGTGCTGCATCAGAGATGGTACTGCAGCTGCTTGGTGGCTGCCGCCGGTGTGTAATGGTTATTGCTTGCCTTGGGAAGATGATCCTTAAAGGGACTCTAAAAGCAGCTATTAAGTAGATGTTGATTGTTGAAATAGCAGTACAAAAACCTCGTAGTGTTACTTTTGCGCCAAGGAAGTGCTCATTTTGAAATAAAATCACACCTTAGTGGTTCGCTCCGGTTAGCGAACTTCAAATTACCCGCCTCAAGCAGAACGTCTCAAGTCACTGTTGCCATGCACAACGTTGCCCGGCTATACTGCATGGCCACCAACACTAGTAGCAGCAGAATGAAAGCAGCGGCAGCAACAGCAGCCATTGAACCATTTCTTACAATAGGCTCCGAGATGGCAGACATGCTTGGTTCAACTGGGCCCCGCTAGATGGCACGACCTGTCCAGCTTAACCAGGCAAAAATCGAACTTATGAACCACTCGTGCCATTCCCTATAGTAAACGCCTGGATGTTTTTTTTTTTTTTCATGAACCAAACAGAAATGAACAAGCAGCATTTTAATACGTCTCTTGATGCACGTGAAGGTTCTTTATGTAGTGTAGCTAGTTTGATTACTATTGGTCAACTGTAGGCTGTAACTCTGACGTCATCGGGATAATTTTGAGAATGTCCTACTGTAGCGCATGTGTTCTCGTGCATTTAGCTTAATTTCTCGGTAATTAGGGCACTTCTCTTGATAATATTGTCATTTGAGAAGATGTCATACATTGAGATTTCACTCTCATGTAAATTTATTTGATTTTAGGGTCCCTTTAACTACCCACAGCTCGAATGATGCACATTGAAGTTGGAAAATGCCATTGTGTCATAGCTTCATGTCCATCTATACTCCACAGTGCATAAAGGACACTTTGTCCATTGTGAAAATAAAAAATATCTTTTCGTGACAGTATGCTGTGTTAGCTGGAATTTTCAGAAACACTGCCATTATATTAAGGTATCTCAAATCGGCATTTGTAAAAGATAGCCTTTCTTTGCTCTTGTCAATAACCAACGTTCAGTGTTTTGGTGATACTGTACTGATGTCTACAAAATGGATGAAATGGTGAATAGAATTGACTCCCTATTTTGTGTGCTTCTCAGTCACTTTATGAATTATTAAGGGCATAGTGCCTCATGCTTCACTCCCTATATTTTTCTTTTTAACAAGTCTGGAGACATTGCAAGTTCCTGTGCCATTAATCTTACCGTATTTAGTAACGGTGATAAAATACTTTAAGACTTGTGTACAGGGCAGCACCAGTGAGGCATGCAGGGGAGGGGGAGCTGCCCTCCTAAAATTTCCATCTGCTCTCCCTTTGCCTCCAACTGAAAACATATGGAATGTATAGTGTATAAGTTCCTAACCTCGCTGCCTCCCTGAAGGAACTAGTTCTTCGTAGGTGCCCCACCCCCCTTCCAGACCAAAAATGCTGGCACCGCCTCTGCTCATAGTTGCACTCAGTGTCCACATGTTGAATGTATTTTACATGTGGAAAAGACCCTCAGATATCCCATTGCAAACAATTACTAGGCCGTGAACTTCATCATAACTAATATTGGGCATGTGAATAAGTGGGATGCCCATGTCTCTGTTGCAGGCTTAACCCAGCTAACAGCCACCAGCGCCCCACAGTGGTTGTGGTGTGCGGTGCCCACCGGCAAGGCAGCCAGGTAGTGTGCTGTGGTCGGCAGCTTGCCAACCACGGTGTCGAGGTGCTACTCTGGCAGCTACCTCTGCTGGGTACCGGTTTGAGGCCCGTCGACCCACTGTTTACAGTCGAGATGGCCCTGTTTCGTAGCAGTGGGGGAAAAGTGCGACTTACCGTAGCAGGTGATATTCTACCTGACATTCTTTTTCCGTGATGCCTAGGCCTTAGTACATACTTATTCACAATTCGAGAATTCAGTGCTAGCTTCGACCACAAAATCCCTTTGAGTAACTTGCTTTTGTGCACCTGCATTCTAAAACATAATCAGAAAATTGCTGGTATTGCAAATATATTTGTCCCTGCCGTGATATCACTGAAATAAGCAAACATGATGCAAATATTTAATTTTCAAAAGCAGCGTACATGGCTTTTCCATCTTTAGATTCTCATTCACCATATTTACTCACAATGAACTGACTTTTTTCTTGAGATGTCAGAAACAAGGTGGGGGTGCATTTATTATGCTGAGCAAATTTTATGAAAACTTTTTCAAGATGAGCAAAAAATGCGGTGATGCAAGAAAAAAAAAAGGTTAGGTCACTTAACTTTTTACAATTTACATATGCGTACACTGTTTGGAAACAGCTTCTTTGTTGCACTTTACTCATCTTCAGTGGTTAATGGCACTATCTTCTGCAAGTGCCACCCATGCCCGCCATAAAAGCATTCCGCGGCTATCTTTTCTCACAATTGTTATACCGCAGTAGTGGTATCTGCTGTGATCTTGAGGGGGGCCAAGAAGCTTGCGCTACCATGCACTTTGCCAATTTTGCGGTAACCTCGCATGGCGATCGTGCCGCCGCCGTTAACATAGCAGCAAGCTACCACTGAAGCCTCAAAATAAACTGACGATAACAAGTTTAATGACAAAATACGGCATCCGCTTCGCTGTCAACATGAGAAGTTACTGTAGAAAAGGTAGTCTGTATCTTGCGTTTCTTGAAGTATGTGCGGACAACAAGCACGAAGAGCAAATGGCAACCGAAGCGAGAATCGGAGTTGGTACCATGTCAGAAATATTCGCGATTTTTTCGGGGTGACAAGCGATTTTTTTCTGGTTTTCCAGAAACTTGCAATGCGATGGCGATGAATGGCCCTTTGCGACAGCAAATTTCGTCGTCGTCGTCACTGGAAAATTGCATGCATGTGGTTTCATATTTTCAGAAAGCCACCGTTGGTTGGTGCGAGCAGTTTCGTAACCTTTTCTAGCTGTGTGCTTATCAGCTGTGATATCTACACTCCCACCGTTCATGAATCTGCTGTGGCGCATAGGTAATTAAAGAAGACTGGGGACGCACTGCGCACAGATAGAAAGAAAAACATTACTGTGCGCGGCAGTGGACGAAGGGTGGGAAGGAAAATGTTCTTGCCATTTTGCTTCATTGTCTGCCTTCATCACTTTAGTGTTTTGTATTGACTGCTTCCTATTGTTTGGTCTCACCTGTTTTCTGAGAGGTGTCTTGTGCCTCTATATATTGTGCGCTTCTACAATGGTGCTGTCCTACAGATAACCTTGTTTTTGGTGTACATTTGCGTTGTTGTTCCTGTGTGACATGACTCATTCAATTTTCACTTAGACACCTGTTTTGAGTTATATGTGATTACTTCAGAGGACTGAGCCCCCATATTGCCCTGTTTGTGTAAATCTGAGTGGGTATTTCCTGTTCTTTTGCACATTTTGCTTTAAGGAAAATTGCATTAGCATTTTCCTCTGCTAGCTTTAAATAGAGTCATTCCTTGATCTAGCCATTGTTAGCTTAGCTGTTGAAAAGCACATAGCAATAACCTGATTTGTACGAGTTCAATGTGAGCATGTATACAATGTAAAAGTTGCCTTCTTATTGCTTTGAAAATAAAAAGAAATTTCTGTGGATTTTCCGCAATCGAACCATACTTCATGCTATTGTAGCTCTAGGCTAAAGTGTTGTGAATTCTTATTTTGTTTTCTGCTTTTTCATTGTGCTTCTCTTTTTCTGTTTCCAAAGAACTTTCTGGTAGCAGAGTGGACATGGTGCTGGCAAGTCTAGACTCCGTAGACGGTGCAAGCCGAGCCGATCCGACGGCAGTTGCGACCATGGCTAATTGGTTCAACCAGAGTAAAGCTCCAGTGCTGTTCGTCGACCCACCGCCCCGGGGCAGCACAGTTACTCCAATTCCGCAGTGGGTGCTCATGCCTCTCCTTCCACTGGCAATGGATGAACGCATTGCCTCTGCGGGCCTTTACTTATGTGACATTGGCGTGCCCTGCCACGTATTTCGTAATTTGGGCATTCAGTACACCTCCCCTTTTGGATCAAAGTTTGTGATAGTGCTCCATGCGAAAAAGCCATGATGGCTCGGCAAGCACGTCACCCTATCCAAGCTACTGAAGCATGTTACGGTTCAAGTGAAAGGAACAACTCAGTCAACGTATCACTCATCAAAAAAAAGAAAGAAAGAAAGAAAAGTGAAGCAGAAGAGTGGCACAAAAGAAGACAAGTGAGATATAAGACGAACTACCAGAACTGATGGTGTTGAATGCAGATTGAGTGATTGATTTTGTCGGCCTCCCCTTTTTTTGTGAGAAGTCTGATTGTGTGTGTGAAAAAGCTGTGTGTGCCGTGTTGTCTTTTTCATTGGACTACTGCTGAGTACATTAAGTGATGCGTGTTCATTTGCAGGTTGCTTAGGTTATGTGTTTCATGTGCAGTGGCTTGCAAAGGATACGGGTATGTTAACAACAAACATATGTGGCCAAAGCGTAGTCTTACACATGGCACAAATTGACACAACGAAAAAAAAAGTGATGTGGGTATGTACACAGGAGACGACGATTAGGGAGCAGCAGACTGCCGGTCAGTATTCTTAAAGTAGATGATTCTGAGGAGATTGAACATTTATCAACAATTGTGAAACTGATAGTCTCTTGCAGCAAACATCTTCATTGCTGTTGCACATCTTGCCATAAGCTTTATTCTTTCTCGAAGAAAAAAAAAGTAAGCGTCTGTACTCTCACCACATTGAGCGAGCTTGTGAAGGTCACACATGTTATTTGTAGTCGTTGCTACAATTCAGAGCAAACTCCAGAAAGAAGCCTAAAATTCTGCTTTTAAAAGGAGAAATAGGGTGGAAAACTGTAATATAGACAGAGTGAGTGATAATGTCGAAATGTGGTGATTTCTTGTTCTTTTATTTTGTCACGTGGCTCATCAGTGAAAATATTCCTGTGCCGTTGATAGCCACTCTAGCTTTTATTCTATATGCACCAAAGAGAGAATTGTCATAAAGACATGCTAAAAGAATGGCCGCAGCTTTGGTGTGACTTTATATTTATATAGGACGTCTTAAAACCAACTATTTTGACTAAGTGAGCATGTGGGCCCATTTTAATCTGTTTTCTGCAGTCACTTGCGGTTTTGGTTCGCTGCTTAGGGGTCCTAGGTTGCCGCCTTGTCTATGAATGAGTGAAAGCTTGCTAAGGAACACTTGACATTTCTTTTTTTGCATTTTTTTTAATTAGATGAAGGGCCAGGACCTCAGAGCTTTAGAATAATTACTGCAATGTCTCAGAGTAGTGTAAATAATTTAATATAAAAGCTTTTTACGGACACCTTCAATTATAGACTCTACTGTGTCGCAACATGATCACCCAGAAGGTGATCATGAGAGTAGCCGATCGCAGAATTTGGGTGCATGCTCCAGATCACTTGATAGCTTCTCATGCTGCTACTCGTCATGAAAACTAATTCGATAGTGTAGCTGACAGCTAGTTGAATCACAGAGAGAATCAAAACGCTGCTATGTGAAGCTCCCATGTGATTGCTATCTGGGTGATGACATTGCAACATTGTGTTAAACTCCAGGAACTGAAACTGTCTGTTGAGGAGCTGTTATATTGAATTATTTATGGCACTTTCAGGCCCGGCAGTACTTTTTATATGGTTCTGTGGTTTCGGACCTTAATTTAATGCTAATGACGACCAGATGAAAAAAAAAAAACGTGTTGGCACCTCTTTGAACATGGGCATTAGTGCTTGGTCCTTCAAATTGTTGTTTTTAGCAAGCCTATACTGCGTCATCGTGGCTTTTTGTTTTTCTGTTATCACACGTCAGCTGCTCAGTTTCAGGCCATTTGGGACTATCGTTTGTGCATTTATGTGTTATGTGTGTGGCAAAGCACTGCCATGTTGCTGTTTTGTACTGTGTACTCGAAGAGTTCCTAAGTCAGTGGAACTTACTAGCCACAATGTTTAAATTTCCTGCTTGACTAAGGAAGGCATGGCATTTCCAGTTCCTTTACATTGTCATTGTATTTTTCTATACTATAAGATTTGCTGTTACTTTTTTGACTTGCTTTGGTTTTGGCTTAGGTACGCACTTTGAGTGCTGTTGCATTATGACATTCATATTCTTTAGCAATATCACAGGTGTCATATGGGTTATTAGAGTACAGAAGAAAATCCAGATGCATCTCATTCACTTGCTGCGATACTGTGTTGCATTCTAAATGTGTATCCCCTCCATGAGAAACTGGAAGTCTAAAAGTAACATGCACTAAACCCTGTGATGTATTTTTGTATTAATTAACAATGCCATTTAAGCATCAACCAGCTATTTAATATATGCTGTCTTGCACAGTGATCTCTGAAAATTGTGTAATCTAACTAGCATGATGCTGGCAGGCTGCTTTGCAGGTTGGCGTTGGTATTGGTCGGCTGTCTTAGCTTTATTTTCTGAAATGACAGGAGAAAGGGAATGATCGCAGGGTGTCATTTAGTCATAGTGGCATCAAGTGCTATGCTTTTTTTTTTCATATGTGCTTTAAATGGTGATGTGTGAGCTTCCATATTTGCTTCCTGGCACGTCCCTTACCTTGCCGTATTTGATTAGTAAAGAGGTACAAAGGTAAAAATTTGACGGGAGTATAGTCTATCTCCTTGAACTGTTTGGCTATTTCCACTTGTGCGGCCCCAATGCTTGCTTGTTATTGTTTAAAGACTGGAAGAGAGTGGGCCGTGCTCACACTGTGGCACATTGCGAAGATGTTTAGTATTCATGCAAGAGCAAGTTCCTTGTCTTTCTTTCCTGCTGTAATGTGGCTCATGCATCACATTGAGCAAGCATCTTTTACTTGCTGGTAACATGTTTCATTCAAGTTTGTGAGCACTGTACAGAGTCAGATATATTTTTCGACATGTAACTCGGGTAAGTTACATCTGCCATACATGGTTTGTTTATACTCAGCAATTGGGCATATTGTCGTCACTTATGCCGTAAGCAAGACATTTGGAATGACTGGGATGTCGTAAGGCGTCATAACAATAAGCTCATTGCATTTAGCATATGCATTTTTTCACGCTCCTTCCAGTCAGCAGACAGCTGTGTGTGTGCCTTTTTCTTTCATCCATGTTTTGTGTCATGAAGACTTGTGATCTGTGCTGTTTCAGCCTCAGGCGAAGCTTTAAAAGTACCTGTGGTGGGAAAGCAGACTAAATTTTTTCTTCTGATCATTGCGGAAGCAGCCACCTTTCCATCACATTTCTTAAAAGAGAAACGAATGGCAGGGTTCTTATGTTGGTGTGTGTAACCTCATTTGTAAGATGCGTTTACTTTCGTCTCGCAAACTTCTCGTATGAAAATACCCGCATTTCCACTTTTTTGAATTGATCTCATTACCAATATGTCGATCCTTTCAGCAGTACATGTCTCTGTAATTCTTTTGGGTGGTTGTGTTGGGGTGTTTTTACATGTGTTTTAGCGCACAAATGGGGGCTATGCTCGGAAGGCAAGTTATTGGTTGATTGTGGATGCTGCGTTTCTTTGGTGCTGTCGCAAAACTCAACATGTCTGGGGAAAAAAAAGCATGCGCTCTAAATACACAGACGCACAATGTCAAAGAAAAATGGTTTCTTGAAACATGGAGTAGCCTTTGTGTTGGCCTGTGTTTTTAGTCTCTGTAAGGGACAACAGACAAGGCTGTTCTACCGGTATTTTGGCACCTAGCGCAATGAGAATACATGCTTGAATTTACTTACTGTTTTGAAGGGGGGTATCAAGCAAGTACCACTCCCCTCGTTTTTTTTTTTTTTGTTTTGTTCAGAAGCAGATCTGCCATTCTGTGATTGACAAGCCATTGAACAGTCATAAGTTTTTCCTAGTCTTCATTTTGTAGTCCTAATCTAGTAAACTTTATGCATTGTTTTTATGCCTCTATTAATGCTGATACTTTAGATTGTCATTGGCCATTGTGTCTTCTCAATCTGATGGTACTAAATTTTGATAGGGAGTACCATTGTGTGACTCTTGGGTGTCAAAGTGCTGACAAGAGCTCTGAGAAGGGCATACATAACCGAATGCTTTCATAGGGGGCTTTTTACTCAGTTCGATGAAAAAAAAATTTTTAGCAAAATAAAGCCAAAGTATCAGCACCTTACTTGCGACTATGTATTTCATGGTCATCAGTTTTCAGATCGGCTGTTTATGTTTTTGGTTACATGAGTCTACGAGGGAGATTTCTTTCTCCACTTGTTCATTTTACTTGTAACTTTTTCAACGCGTTATTTGTGAGCAATGTTTTGAAAACGGTTGGCCTAGGTGAACTTCAGCACAATGCTTAATTTTAATTCTATGTAACTATCAACGGTGTGGCCCAATAATTCTTTACAGAAGGAACTAATTTGTTTGCATTACTATGTGAATTCCCAAGCCAGCAGTTTGGATGTAAAAGTACACATTGTTTGTATGTGACAAAGTAAAAACATTTTTGAACATTTTTGCACCACTTTTCAGGGTTGCCTACGGTGTGATTGTGACAGACTCTCATCAGCAAATAGAGTGAAATCTCGCATTCGGGTTGCTAAAACGACGATCAAACAAAATTATTGTGAAACATTCTCTGAAAGTGCGGGATAAAAAGTCTCGTGATGCTGCTGTAACACATTGGTTTCCTGCAAAATAAAAATTCCTATGAGCACCTTCTGGGCCCAACTACTTGCCCTGTGTCCTGTTGTTTTTTTCTTTGTTTAATCCATGGGAAACATTTCAACTGAAGGGGGGCTGTCCTTTGAAAAGGAGACTGAATGGTTTGATGTTTTTATCTAAGGTGAGTCAGCGCATTCACAAGCAAAATAATTAGAAGAGTCTGTTCGTGTCAACATGGCCACAAACAACGAGTGCTCTTTTTTTTTTCCCCCGCCAAGCTTTTTTCGAAGCCGTCGGCAGCTGCTTTTAACAACAAAAAATACGGTACTCGTAGATCCACCCGTGAAACAAATAACAAGAATCCCCTGCCTTGAATTAACCTATTTTTACGCGCGATAACGTTAGTATGCCGTTTTACCGTAATGGAAAGCCTGCCATTGAGTCGAAAATATTATAAACTTGAAGATAACTTAGTTTCACACCGCTTGGAGTGCTGCGGTGCTCGCTGCGGCTGGCGAGGGGTTTCGGTCCAACTTTTTCATTAGTTAATCCTGCGGCAAAAGCAGCTTTACGCGTTTTTCGGCCTCTACACTCCTTATTCCCTTCCAAAAGCAGCGCCACTGCTTCAAGATGTATTTGGACGGAGCTGAAGGGGTCTTCGAGTTCCTGCGAGGCAACCTGCCTTTTTACGTGATCGTTTTCGTGCCGCTTCTGATCGCCATCTCGCCGGTCGCCCCCGTGCTCGGATCGCACGAGTTCACCGTCTACCGCATGCAGCACTACGACTTGCAGGGAACCGTGCACGGTGAGTAGCGAGGCGCCCAGACACTTGTTCGCACGCCGCACCGTCAACTACTTTCGTATCTGAGACGAATCGCCGAGCACCAGGTGTGTGGGAACCCTTGCAGGAAAGTCTCGAAGGACGTCGAAAAACATTCACTTCCTCCACACGGACTCGCCGAGCCCCTGAGTGCGCTCATCCTTTTATGTCATAGCTTCGGCAACTTCTGCTTGCGGTTCTAGAAATGCGCGATCTAGGTCGGACGTGCCTGCAGCACGCCATCAAGTAGGTGGCAATGACCTCACATTTGACGATCACATGCTCTCTCCTGGACCTCGGGAAATTGACGTTTAGAAAAACAGCTACAGCGATCAGGTTCAGCTGTACGTTATGCGATATACATTACACCCCCCCCCCCCTCTTTTTTCTTTATCGTATCGTGAAATGTGTTGGATAGTTTTCAATTTTCTTCAGTCTGGCCAAAAATTAAAAGGCCATCCTTAGTAAGAGGCATTTAATGCGCGCATGACGGCCCACAGTTTTATTGACGCCCATCATCTGCTTGCTTCGCTGCTTAGATTATCAGAAAGCCTGCCTTAAGCAGCTTTGAATGTTCGCTCTGAACACAGCATGCGAGCTGACTTAGACTGCTCGCAAACCTTGGTACTGTGACCTTCAGAAACGCTACTCATGGTAAAAGCAGCCTTAAGGACTTTATAAAATAAGTTTCCTATGTTTCTGCATTTTGCAATTACAGTAAATATCTAACATTTGTGCATATCTCACCTACATTGAGCATTCGTCTCGGACTCTGTTATGCTACGGTAGCGTAGTAGTGCCACATCGGAACTTCTCTTGGCTGTGAACTGCATTGAGTAACGATGAACTTGTCTCTTCTTTCAGGATCTAGGAGTTCTGTTGTGAACACTGAAGCTAGAACATTACATTCATCATCTTACCACAGAAAAGTTGTTATAGCACGGCTTGCCGACCTCACTCATGGGCAGTTCAATGAAGTTATCCAGCAAGGGGCAGCTGGTGTTCTCATATTCTTGCCACAAAACTTCAGTGACGTTGCTCCAGATAAGCTAAAGGTAATGACACTTGCATGTCTACATGCGTACACAATCTACTTGTGAGCATTGAAAAGACTATTTGCTACTGTATCTGTGTGCTTTTCTGTTACCTTGCAGGCTTTGATGGAGTTAGAACATGCACTACAAGAGGATGCTGTGCCTGTGCCAGTTTACTTTGCATACGAGACAGATGAACTAAAAGACATGTACAGAAGCGTCCAGAGGACGTCTGATAATGGCAGAACAACCAGTGTTGCGCAAGGTACAAAAGTGTGGGTGATGAAATGCTAAGAATGTTTAGGTAGGAAAAGCCAGCTGTATTGTTGAACGACATAATTTCGTTTGAACACAGCGAACTGAAATGGTCTGTTTTCTTGTTGCACTCATAACCTGACAATTATCATAAACAAGAAAAAAATAATTCTCACACACTGCCTTTACTTTCCATGAGGGAAGGCAAGACTAAGGGACATGGTGAGGAAGTTTTGTAAAAAGAAGCAGATTGCAATAGTGGCTTTTATTGTTAAAAAAAAAAAAAAACTTCTCTAATTATTCTACTAGCTGTTGTGCCACAGATGCTTGAGCTGATTACGTATTTTTCTGGTTACATTGTGCAGTATAGTGGATTCTATATTTTTTCTGGTTCAAAGGTCTCATTTGACACTTTTGATCATAGAATGTGTCTAGTACCATTACATTGCCTTTTCTGGGACCTTGCTGTGACAGAGATTGTGTGCTTGTAAGATTGCATGGTTTGCTAAGTGTTACATCACTAAAAAGTGAGGAGAATAGGAGAAAATTTGATATGGTGGTCACAGGTACAAATCTTTGTATCTGACTACATAACACCTCAGTAGATTTGACCTGAACAATAGCCAGTGGGAGCTTGTTTGGCATTCACGTGGGCAGTTATAGCTTCTTTAGTGATTTCACTTGTCTTCACAGCATTGTAAAATAAGGTGCTGTTGTATTCAGCTTCAGCATTCATTCTCACTTAGTTCTTAATTAATTGTAACACTTTTCATGAGATAGCTGATGTAGTTGTTACTTACCATTCATAATTTGTCTTTAACAGTGTATGAGGGATATTATTATGCAGTCATAGTAATTTAGTGTGACAATGTTGTAGTTAATAAAAATAAATGACTAGGATTACACAAGATAGCTATGACATATATGCACGTTTTGTATCGTGCATTTTGGGCTCCGTGCTGTATTGCCAAAGCTGTGCAAATATATGTTATTTCCACAATTATGTATATCATGAAATTTGTCTCTTAAAGCATAGATATTTGACCATTATGCAGCTGTAAGGTTCACTATCTTCCTGTTGGATTCACATTCCTGTAATATTTGCCACAATAGTATTTCTTTGCTTTGCATAACGTGAAATGTCAACAAAGCTTTTTCTTGTTTTGTAGATCATGATGGTTCATAAACAAATTTGTAACTGAAAACAAGTATAAAATTTCGGTTATGTAGGGTGCTGTTCTTTTCACCTTTCAAAGGTTACTTGCTAGAGCATACTTTTCCCAAAAGCTACAATGGCTGAGCCATGATGGAGATGGACATAGCTTTCAATACTATGGCTTGCTGGATTTAATGTGAAAGTATGCACGATTCTGTCTGCTAGTGAGGTGTTGGCACTTCTTGGCACTTCAACGGTGGCACTTCTTCTTCTCTTCAACATGTGCAGAGCTGTGGGGCATGCTAAAGGCCAGTGGATTTCAGCTGGTGATCTCTGGAAGTCAGGCCAAAGTGATTCCAGACATTCAGCTTTTCAATATTCAGGCAAGTTTGGCAAAAATCTGGTAATGATTGATTTCAAGTTTATCCTGTTCTTCTATCCCGATGATGCGAAATTCGGCTGAATTGTGCAGTTATCGGCACTTTTTTGTAGTTAACAAGTGTAAGCAAACGGATACGTTGACAGCATTTTATCATGTGTCTTTTTATGGCCATCTTAGCGTGTCACAATATGTATAGGCACTTATGACCATAGAATACAGCACTGCACTCACCTTCTTTCTTTTTTTTTTATTAAGCAGAAATTTGTCACCATTATCTAGTGAAATTTCCTTTTTTATATTGAATGACATGATATAAAGGGTCAAAATATATGAAGAATATTGTATAAGTTAATTATAGAATAAAATAACACGATGTAGCAACGCAAGTTTAGAAGATCTCCACAAGAAGTTTTAGTTGAAACTTGTCTGTGGCTGTTGGAAGTTACATAGTTACGCTTTATGTAGAAACACAAGTGAATCCTCTCATATTGTGCACATAGTTGTACATCTGATATTCGACATTTGTGTCTGTCTTGAAATGTTTTGAAAGTGCAGTCATGTAGTCCCAGATTTGCTTTCTGCTACTGTTTCTGATGTTCATGAACTCAGCAACATTTAAAGTGGCAAAAGTCAACATGGGTCAAGCTGGAGGGCTTGTTCAAGAGGTATCATTTATGATGAAGAGGTTGCTAGAATACATCTTGTTGTGGCTACAAATACGTGTGGAAGAGGACATGACTAATTCATATAGGAAGTGCTTGTAATTACAATGGAACTTCGATTATACGTCTCCCAGTTTCGCGACGACGCGCATTTTACAACGAATCGGTTAGGTCCCGGCAAAATCCCAATAGGAATAACGTATTAAAAACCTTAGTTATACGACGCAGTTTTACCCCGCATGTTACCCGTCGACCCCGCATGTTACGACGACATTCAGATTTCATCCAAAAGAAAAAAGAACGCCTTTACTCGAATTAAGCATGGACCAAATATTCACGAGTGCTAAATATAGACCTGCGTTCCCCTTAGTTTACGATAAGAAAAGTAAAGAGCGAGACAGATGTCTTCTTAGAATGGAACATTTATTCTCCTGGAACTTCATGCGCTTCTACACACGTCGCAACGGCTTGTGCTAGTATCTGGGGTCGTTATCTAGCCAAGCTCTATCCACACAAAGTAGCTCCAGCCGGCTGAAAAGCTATGTTCACGTTTTCAGTCCATGGAAACATTTTATGGTCGACATACAGCTGATCTCCTGCCTTTGTCGCACTCGCAGTCACAGGCTTGCGGACGCATAAGGGCACGACGCAGCTGTTTTCACTGTGAAAGATTACATTCACTTGACGTCGACATTCATAATAACAGTGAGACATCACAATTTGCACTTCACAATGCCACAAATATCAAAGTGCATAGCCATGTCACACATGAAGGCATTGGGCTCGTTAACAAAGCGCACTCCGAACTCTGAAGAAGCACACATGAGTGTGCTCGAGTGCGACACCTGCAGCGGGGTGCTTCGGAGCTTAACCGCGATTTCCGCTGACTGCCTTAGGGGGCTTGACAGCACGGCGGCGGCAGTGTTTGTGGCCGTTTGGTGGCGCTAGGAAAGAGGGGGGAAAAAAGCCGGAAGCACATTGTTGTAGTTTTTCTGGAAGTCACACAAGGCCCCTCTTCTGGCTAAGGGCTTGCGCAAAGTGTTGATGATATGTTTAACACCCGAGTTATGTACCGAGTGCATAATAGCAATTACTTGCACCTCCTGTGAACACCTCAGCGGATACATTTTTCTCTCCTGGCACATGTGCATGTCTCTTTCCTTGGAACTCATTACGTTACCTCTCCTGAAAATTTCATAATTTGCCTAACTCCGTTTTTTATTCCTTTCAGGGAAAGCTATCTGGTTTTGGCGTTGAAGAGCAGCTGCCAACAGGTGTTATAGTGGCGCACTACGATTCATTCGGAGTTAGTCCGGTGAGTTCACTCTGCACTCAGGGAGAGCACAAATGTACTACCAGTATTGGTTGCCATGCCTTCTGATTTCGCATCTACCACCTTGCGTAACTGCATTACTCTATCCCCTGCAGGCATTGTCTTTTGGTGCGGACTCCAATGGTAGTGGGGTTGCTGCCCTCCTTGAACTGGCCCGCTTATTCTCAAGGTTGTACACTAATTCGAGGACGCATCCACAGTAAGTACACCAGTGAGGAGAAAACTCAGAAGTTGACAGTAGTTCAATGCACGAGCCTGTAGGCACTGATCTTTTCGCGCATTAGTTTTGTAAACAATTCGAGCACCTTCCCAGTAAGTTTCCTTTGCATAAAAATCCCCCTTCCCACACATCTTCGTCAGTGTGGGGAGGGGGCTTGTTTTTTAAGCAAAATATATTTTTTTTCAAGCTAAACAACCACTGCTTGCTTGCGACGCTGTCATATGTGCTGTCTTGCAAAAAGGGTCATTTCTCTGTTCTACTGTGGCTACAACCTGTCTTTTATGCTGCTGTGGGGTCAGTTGCATTGCTCCCTTACGTGCAAGGGTCTTATTTTTTTATTTCTTTCCTACTTTAGTTTGTTGCTACTTTCTTCTTTTGAGATGTTAGTCTTATCATGACCCCTTAACGTGCGAAGTTTAATGCACTGTCTGGAAATGCGTAAAATTCGCACAGCATAACAACGAGGCACTAAATATTACATTCTAGCGCCTCTCGTAATCATAGGGTGGTTTGGGACGTTGAACCCCGCATATCAATCAATCAATCAATCAAATATTACATTCTAGGAATGAAAATGAAGGAATGTGTTGTTTTGTGTGTTTTGGTAATTAGTCATAATTAAATATGTAATGAAATATTCACCTATTCTACCGTCAGTGATGTTTCACTTTTCCATATAAAGAATGACATTGTAGGCTTATGGTATGTGCACAATCACTGTGCTGTTGTAGTCATCTTAAGAAAAATTGGTATTACCTTTGATGGTCCTGGAACGTGCCAGGCCGAGTGACCTGTGGAACATCATAGTGCCTTGAACAAAGGGATTAATTATGGTCACATGCAGCGCATTGAGTCAAAACAAGCTGACTATGTAAAAGGTCAAAATCATGTCTTAGCAATGTATCTTTCTCTCTTTTGGCCAGAAGTCATCGCAACTAGAATAAAAAAGTGTGTATAGAGTCGTAGCTACTGCTGCTGAGGGGTATGTAGCGGGCTGCTAATAATGTGCTCTGGCTCCACTACAGCGTGTGGACCACCACATTTCACCTTCCAGTATTGAGCGAATGCTGTCAAGAAAATGACTAGTCACTATAGAAAGCCTGTGTCTTGCTCAACCAAAGTGTGAGACAGGGTTATACTGTAATCCATTACAATGTGCAAAGCATAACGATCAGACAAAGGCTGAAAATGGTAGCAAATACTCTGGCTAACATTCAGCCAATTTTAATTCAGAAGACAGTATAATAATTATTGTAATTAAGCTGCAGCTATTCTAAAAAGCAGCTGTATTGGCAGACATTTTGTTGGTTTGATTGATAATGACCTCGTTTGCCTATGTATGCCTGAATGTGGTACGCTGTCTTGGGTTGTTGTTTCCAACACATGATTTTTTTTTGTTCACATTTGCTATCAGATATTAGTTACATTATTTATATATGACATGTAGTAGTTGGTTATTTATCTGTGCTATTTGCAATGAAGCTTAGTTGGATGTCGTTGTCAATCTTCGTAACTTTTTTCGTACCTTGTTTCGCTGTGCTCATTGTGATTGTACTGTAGTTCTTCGTACTTCAGAAATGCCTCAATGTTTATATGTTTGCCTTGATGTAAGCGCTTTTCTAGCTTGTGTGTAAACTTTAGCAGTTGGAAATTCGTGTTACTTTCATGGGTTAAAGACAATGCCCTTACTGCATGTGATTATCATGGCATGTACTTGTGTGATAAGCATTTGCCTTTGATAATTTTTTTATGCTGATGTAGCTTCTTAATCACATGATACATTTATTGGATATGACAAAGAGTGCATGGAGTGTAAAAAGAGTGTTTACAAAAAGTAAAGCATCTGTTCTAATTGGAAATTTTCAGCTTCAATCTTGTTTTTCTGATTTCTGCTGGAGGCAAGTTCAACTATCACGGCACAAAAAAATGGATAGAAGACAACATTGACAGCACAGGTGAATACTGCACTTATGCACAAGTATACATACACTCTGTCATGCTGAGTTTTCTTTCTTTCACAGTTTATTTGTTTCTGTCCCGCAAATTTCATAAAGTGGTACACAGCATCCCAGAAATTGCGTACGCCTTACAAGTATGAAGTTCTTGTTTGACTGATGTTAAACGCTGTCAAACACTGTTAAACTGCAGGCATAAGTTGCAAGGAGCCGGCAGTGTGAGGAAGAAAAAGAATGTGTGGTATTTAAAAACATGTATAGCTTACCCTAAACACGTGTAGTAGCACTGAGGATGGACCCCGATTGCCTCGTTTAAGATCCTGAAGTAATATCAGGTCAACACTGAGTCTATATTGATGTGAACCAGATCGATCTTGGATGCCAGCAGATAAACATGTTGAAGAATGTTTTATGTATTTGTTCTGATGACACAACTGCTGCGTGCACAGGCATTGCTCAGTCTTGATAATCATAAAGCAAATATTGGACAAAGCTTTCACTTGAAGCACTCAATAGGCTTGCTTTTTTATACCTCGTTATGTTTCAGCTCTCTCTCTCTCTTGCCTCTCTAATTACAGAAGGAAGTCTCCTGGCTGACTCGTTGTTTACTATGTGCTTAGACTCTCTAGGGAGTGGAGATGACCTTTATGTTCATGTGTCAAAGCCTCCAAAAGAAGGCAGTGCAACATCGAGGTTATTCAATGTAGGTATCTTGACATCTTGGTAAAAACATTTTTATACTCCACAGTTTTGAGCTGTTGTTATCAGACTTATAATGGCTCTTTTTGCAAATGTTGATGCTGGCCAGATATTGTGTTCATAGTACAGATGTAGTGGAAGCGACATTTCTTTTTTCTCTTTTCTGTCTTAGTTTTTTTTTTTTTGACAAAAGAAAGAAAATATGGTATTGTACGAATTGTGCTGCTTGGCCTTTAGGTCAGCTTTTTTAGTTCACCAAGCAAGTAGTGTGGCATGCTTTAGACACTTTGTACAGTGCTTTGTCAGTTCAAGAAAACATGAAGTTTTTTCCCCTTGCCTGCTTGGATGTTGTGATAGAAAGTGTAAGAGTGACATTGTGGTAGAAAATGAAGGGCAGAATAGTATTTTAAAGCTAGTACATATCTCCCTCCCTTTGCTTTCACTCTGCTTTCCTGTGCCTTTCACATCCAAATGCATGATCTCCCAAGAACACCTTTAATACTGAACTGCAAAGTTCATACATACTATTTGCATAGTAGTGACCCGTGTGGATGCACGCAGGAACTGCAGAAAGTGTCGGAGACCGTTTCACCTGCTACACGGGTGTCAATGGTGCATAAAAAAATCAACTTGGCGGATGAGACCCTGGCCTGGGAACATGAGCGCTTTAGCATGCGTCGCCTGCCAGCTTTTACTGTCTCCCATCTTCCCAGTCATCGGTCACCGAGCCGCAGTTCCATTTTCGACACGCGGTGAGACGCTTACGCCTCAAAAAGACGTGCTTTGTGTTTTAGCAGAATCGCTTTAGGCAGAATCACTTTGCTTGTGGTTGACTCAGTGCTGTTGTCTCACTCGGAAATCACCCGAGAACCTGAAGGTGACCGTTGCACTTGATTGGCAGACACTTTTTGCTGCAATTGTGTAGTCTGCTTGCTTGCTTTCATGATCATAAAACAGCGTGTTTCGTTCTTGGGAGTTACTTTGTTGGATTGTAGTGCATTGTACATTTATAAATATTTAGTGAAAATCATTTATTCCTGTTTTCTCAATCTTGCATACTTACAATATTTTGCCGAATTGTGCCAGCCAATTTCATGTTTCTTACTTTCGTAACATATCTTTGTTTTAAAGGGACTCTAAAGAGAATCAGTGACTTGGTCATGATTGATCAACTGAACTCTGAGAACTCTAATGCTGTAAGTTTCACTGTCATAAATTCATTATTAGTGAAAAAAAATCAAGGTTAAAATTTCTTAAATTTTGTGCCGAGATCTCCGCACATAACAAATTTCAAAATCTATTCGTAGTATTTTCGCGACATTGGCTTGATGAAATTTTCCAAAACTTCGTGTGCTAGTTCTGTGGTACCCACAGATGACAATGTACTAATTTTTATTGAGTAGAAGCTATGTAGGACTCCATTATTCAAAATTTAATACGTCACGATGTTTGGTGGGATAATCTTGTAGTGGTGTCTCCACCTTCATTTTCTCTTTGCGCGCTTTCTCGCTTACCAAGTGTCATGTCATGGTAAGAGTGGTGTTTTCGGGATTTCGAAATAATACTTTACTAATATACCAGAAAGATCGTTTTGCTCCGTAGTGTCCCTTTAAAGGACACAACAGACGAAGGCCTGTGTTGTCGCTTTCACATATTGTGTCCTCATTTTAATGCTTTTTTTTTACAGCGTCATATTAACTCGCCCAACAAACAGTTCCTCTGGCCCGTCTTGTCACTTGCATTTTACTTTGTTGTCGAAGGCTGGTAGAACTACATATGCCTGTGTATTAGCTTTGATATCGATATTCTTTTGTTAAGATTTCATGAGCTTCAAATCGACCAATTTCATCATGAGTTTGACTACGGTGCTGCTGCCGCTAGACGTATGCATTGATTTGAGACCTTTCAGGCAGTGACGCAATTAGGATAAGGACGTGTTTGAGCTATAACAAAATTGCTTATCTGTTGAGGCTAGAAGCCATTGAGATGAGAGTGAAGATTTTTTGACAGGAGTTTCATTTACTAGCGAAGACATACAAGAGTGCTGCAGTCAAATACATCATTAAGAAAATGAGATGCAGTTGTTCTGTTTAAGTTACAATTTTGTTTAAGCAATTTTCATTCACTAAGATATTTCAGTAAGTATTCGCTTGTTCGTACATGAAAGTAGAGCCCTATTTTCTCACTCATGTGTCAGCAATGGCCTTGCATTTGAGTCAAATAGGTTTATTTGGCTTGACTTGTGAGCATATCGCTGATGTTAATGTGGTGTTTTCTCCAGTGACAAAGTTGAAAAGGACAAGTTGGCCCGGAATGTGAAAGTGATTGCTGAAGCCTTGGCTCGCATCCTCTACAATGTGACAGACAGTGAAGCAAGTCTAGAAGTCTTCCGTGAAAGCCTGGTGTGTTTTCAGATGCTATGCATTTTGCATTCAATATCTCATTTCCATGGTGCCCCAGCTAAGCTAGAGCAATTGTATGTAATTTGTTCATGAAGGGCTTGTTGTTTGCTTGGCATTCAGTTGCTAACAGAATAGCTTGAATGTGTCAAAAATGTGTACATATAAGCCTGATGCTTTTACTGCCCAAACCCCATGTCAACTTAACATTTACCTCTTAGCCATGAAATGAGACAATAGTCGACATATGATTCAGTATTTGAAAGTGGTTCTTTGTAAACATCTGTATGCACCTATTAGCGCACCCTGGTTTGTGAATGCATTTACTTTTCTCGTCTCCCCGTTACTGCATTCTCATGACCTTGTACGGAGGCTTGACGATAAGGGACAATAAGAGAGTAGAGTGGGTCACAGAACAAATGGGTACGTGTGTAAAAAAAAATGGACATGAGCAGGGCATGTAGCATTAAGGCAAGATAACCACTAGTCACTAAGAGTAACAGGCTGAATTTCTACAGAAGGCACGTGTGTGACGAGAGGAGGAGGCAGAAAGTTGGGTGGGCAGATGAGATTTCAGGGTTCGTACAGGTCCTTGAAATCCTTGAAAACCCTTGAATTTGAAAATTTCATTTTCAAGGCCATTGAAAGTCCTGGAATTTTTCGCCATCTTTGGAAATCCTTAAATTTCTTAAGCAGTGCACTTTCATATTGGCATCGCGACCTCCTAAATGTGGTACATCGGTGTGTGAACCTGTCACTCCTTATTTCTGAAGCAGTAATGTGTTGTGGGTGCGCATGGTCCCATTTAGCAAAATGTGAAAAAAATTTTTGTGGCGAGGGTGAAGCAGTGAATGTGATAGCAAGAAATTAGAATGTCACACGAAGAAGGGCAAGCAACGCCATACATGCAGCGCACCGCTCAAGCACGAAGGACGCACGAAAAGAAAGTGCAGAGGACGAGTGCTGATGAACCACAGCTCGGCATTGGAAGCGTGCTGCTTAAACAAACCAAGAAGGGTTCTAGAAATGAACACACATGTATCCACCGGATGAGTGTAAATTAACCACTGTCACAGTCATTACTTCTCAGTTGTTGAGCAATGTGCTGCGAGTGTCAACTGCGCACAAGCCGACACTCCTTATTGGGTGGTGCCATCGAATTTCAAGGCTATAGCAAGCACCGTGTGGGTTTAAGGATATATTTTAAGTCACTTCCCAAGTGTACCTAAATGCTCATTCCTTTAATTGAGGTCCATTGCCAGCACGCCCAACACTGACGTAGCTCTATAGAAAGGGCAACGAAAGTTCTAGTGACGTCACACCAGATCTGTAGTCTGGTGAGTGACCTCCGGACTTCCGCCCCGTACATACCGGCAAAGCATCGCGTCTGCTGCAGTAAGCGGCGAGTTTGTTTTGCAGGTGCTTGTGTGGCACATGTGTACGAAAGCTAACAATACTCAGCATGACGCGTGCAAGGCTTTGTGATCACGTGACTAAGTCAGCTACACTGCTACGTACTTGCCCAACTCGATCCCCACAAACAGGAACTGAAAATTGTCCATATCAAAAAGGCGACAAATCATACAGCGAGAATAAATGAACCTTGGTGCGTGTATCTTGCTTATTGGAGCTGTAATTAAAGCTCGCAGCAAAGAGCGTGCAAGCCACAAATATTGTGGCACGGCCCCTTTAAGGCCTGACTACACATGTGCATTGAAGCCAATCAGCGCGTAACTTTCTGACATGGCATCGTGCCTTCTCCCTATAGAGAGGGCGCGACAAGTCATCGAGACTACGCTCTTTTTTTTTATAATTGCAATATCCATGTATTTATTGCAAGTGCTTATTATAAGCATGCTACTTCTAGTCCTTTGAAAAACTTTCAGCAGGTCCTGGAAAGTCCTTGAATATCCTTGAAATTTTGCTTTGGAAACCTGTACAAACCCTGGATTTAGGACTTTGCAGGGATAACATGGCTGCATCAAGCAAAGGACCAGGTTGATTAGAGGAACATGAGAGAGGCCTTCCCTTTCAGAGGGCGTCGTCAGGCTTATGACAATAATGGTAATGATGTACAGGGGCTGCAGGAGGACTACCTCGGTGCCTGGATTGACACGCTATCAAGTCAGCCGCGTGGTGCCCAGCTAATGGCAAAGGGCAAGACACCTTTGGTCACCATGCTCGAGCAGGCGCTTGCACGGCACCTCAAGGAAGTTCGCCTGTCGGCCTTCCGGCCAGACAAGAGGTGATGCTCCTGCTTTTGCCTTTTCAGTTTAATCTGCTGCATTCAAAGATGTCATCTCCCGATTGCCACAAGTAGCTGATGCTTTTGAAACTGCTGCAATAAATGGGAGTAAGTGAGAAATGATAAGCTAGTAGTGTGCGTGAGCATTTCTCCTTGCTCTCCTTTCTTGTCGGGTAATTGTATCATTGCCATCGTCCCATTGAGGTTAAAATAACTGATAATGGCGCTCATAGTTTTTCTGTAGCATGAGAATGTAAATATATCTTAAGCAAATTTCTTGTTTGTATCTTGTTTCAGGGATCCTGAAGTTGTGTTTTATGATACTCCAGTTGCTGTCATGAATGCATACAGGTCAGTGCACGCACTAAATTTTTGTTAGCTTCTGAGAGTTTACTCTACCCTAACACTTGGACCAAATGAAACAAGTTTACCACTTTCTCTTTCAATATGCAGTGTCAAGCCAGCTGTGTTTGACTTGTTTCTGGCAGCAATTATTGGTGCCTACCTGGGAACTGTGTACCTTGTCATTGTGGTAAGTTCTGCTTCATCAAAGCTCACAAGTCTGAGCATGAATGGTGGTCAGCATAGTAGGAAATGAAGTTTTGTAAAAAGATTACAGCATCCGAGCTCACGTAGGATATTGTGCATTTAAATTTCAATTAGTAAAGCGCATGCTCTAGTAGCTGGGCTATTCCAGTTATTACTCAAAAAAGTGTTGCAGGGCCCTTTAAACTTAGGTTAATGCACTATGGATTCACTGTAATGCCACCACCATAACTTTTTAGTATGTCAAGATTATATTGATAGTTATAAAAATGAAGCAGCATAGCTGTTCTCATGTTTATGTAATGCACTGTTGCAATTTTAGTTAATGTAAACTGTGTCAGCTGTATTTTGAAATGAGGTATCTAAGTGCAAACTAGACATGTACTAAGGCTTGATAGTGTTTCATTCCATAGCTGAGAATACAGGGGTTGCTTGCTTTTTGGATTTGTTTATCCCACAGAACTTTCACCATGTACAGAGGGTTGTGGGCCTGTTCTCCCAGCCAAAGGCGAAAGTGAACTAAGTGTTCGACGGCCGACCAAATCAGTTTGGACGGTGCTCTTCCATTCTTGCCCTGCACCTTCATTGCATAGACTCATTAGAAAATGACCAGTGTCAATGCTGGCAGCATCCTTGAGAAACTCTTCATGCTTGAGGACATGCCTGTGTGTTCACTGATTAAGTGTACCTGTTGAAGCACCAGACTGTAGCACCATTATATCTCCATTACGTATTGCAGTCTTTCGTTCCTCATTGTGTTTTAACAGCTGCTGTAGAGCATGAGTTGTTTGGGTTCTAATGGAATAGTGAAGGTGATTGTCTCTATCTGGGACGGAGCTCCCAAAAGTGCCAGCTTTGCATTGTGCCACACTTAGGGCTGTATGTCCGTGCGTGAATGATTCTGACAGTGTCGTAGCATTGTTGCCTTTTTCAGCGACTTGTCATGCCTTTATGTTGATGCGGTAGTTTTAGAATGTGTTGTTTCTGTTTGTGTACTGCCCGGTTGTAAATAGTAATGTATATACACATTTTTGCACATTTAGGAAGTATTTCGTAGTGAATTGCAATCAGGTGGGATGCAAAGATAGACTGTTAAAAACATTCGTCGGTATCGCGTGGTCTGGACTTAATTGATGTACAGTCTATTTCTTTGTTGCCCTCAGGAGTTGTGAAACAACTGTCATTGTAGGCCTTTTTTTTTGCATGTGCGTCGTACGTACTAGTTATTAAATTACTCTGAATGTTGCTCTGTGTGTTGTTTGTACTTGTCTCTCGAAGTAGAGGTCTCACTGGTTCATAGCCAAATAGGCGACCACTGAGTGGTTAACTAGGCTAGATCGCTTTCATTTGTGCTGTCCCTTACTTTGGCATCATGATAACAATGCAGTTTTAATGGTCTAACTAAACTACTTTTATTGAAGCAGCATTTCAGGGAGCCACCCTAAACAAGGTGGATCTAGGTTTTCTTCATGGCAGTGTAGGGATGGGTCTGACTGCGAGATTGTTATAGGATAATAATTCAGCTAAGATGCTTATGATTAGTAATGACAAATTTGTTCGCATTCAGTGAGCATTTTAACATTGTTCTTCATGAGTTTGTCGTCATTCGTAGGATGGTACATGGCACTGCACACTAATTCAATGGAAGGGGTTAAGGACATGCAGACATCCCCTTATATCGATGCTTGGCTTAGGGCCCCCTTTATCCCAAAACTACTGTTATTGGAATCTCTTCTTTGACAAAGAAGGAAACGTTGTGGCCAAAAAAATGTGAAAACCTGCATGCTTTTAACACTTGCTTTTGCGTGTGCCTTGCCTTCCTTGCCTTCAAGCAGTGTGACTTAGGAGCGGCCTTTTTACATAGGACCGGAAATGCTTATAAAAGTTTTTAGACTGATGAATGTAAAGAAACATGAAAGGATGAAATTCACAGACCTGCAGTTATGTTGAGCTGCATTAATGAGAGCATTTAAAGTTAAAAGCGTGTGTGATTTCGCTAGAATGGCTTTGTGAAAGTCCCTGAGACATAGTTAAAAGTATCACTAAAATTTTGTTCATTCTAGCTTCATTAGGTGCAGTTTACGAAACTAATATTGCCTTGCAATGCTAATTTTGGTTAGTAAGCTTTCTACTCCTGTATCCTGTAACTTTGAGCTTTCCTGCATAATTTCTTATTGAGTCAAATATCTGCTTCTTTCAACAGTAATTAATTTTACCTCTGGAATTCAACAAAGCTTTTTATATCAGCATACTCTTGAGAAACGATTTCTTTGTTCTAGTATATTTAGATAGGTTAAATGTCCATGAGCCAAAGACTTCCTCTGAAAGAATGCTTAATGTGAGCTAATTAAAGAAATTTACTTTCAAAATTCATACAAAAGCTGGCTGTGCCTGTGTATCAATTTCTTGTTTACTTGTCCAATTTGCATCCGTTTTGCACTAAAAGCCATATGAATGCCCATACAGTATCCTCAGGGCCCTTTGGCATTACATATGCACTTTCATATTGCCTCTTTCAGTAGTAATAAAGAATTTTTAATGCAAGCATATATTGCACTTAATGCAGTTGAGCCCAGATATTTAGAATAATCGTCTATATCGTATGTCCCCTCGAAATTCCAACGCCACAAGTATGGCACTACACTATGCAACACTGTACTACGCACACCGAACTGCTGTCCACCTTGACATCAGATGTGTTCAATGCTGCGGCTCTGTGAGTGCACTGCTGCTAATGGCATGTGATCTCCTGCATCATTGGAAATATTCGTGCCCGTGAAATTGCCATTTTGTGCAGATGGTGGCGTCAAACAGGCCATCGATTCTAAGGGTTCGTAAAAACTGCATGCCCTGAAACGTGGATGGTTTGTGCAGCAAGGATTTTAGCATGTGCACACCATTATCATCGATTAGTCATATTAGTACGCACGTCTGGGATTTACAGCGATCTATAGCGTCGAAGGCCATAGAGACTTCTGACCTCTAAGAAGAAAAGGATGCAGTAGGCTACGCGGGAGTGATGAAGGGTCAGACGCGTTTGGTCGATAAACATTCGCCGAGGGATATTGCTTCCTGCCTTTGTCACAGGCTTCGCGGGTTCGCTTGCCTGAGCGGATATTTGAAGCGGAGACGCCTGCAGCAGGCCACACCAGGAAAAAAGGAAGAGTCTGCCTTTCGCGACGTTTGTATTGCATGCATTATTTTTCGGGAAAAACGACAAGGAATGCTCTTCCTAAACTGTCGCCTCTTCTTTTGTTTGTTATATTTAAAATCTAACATGTGGCTAACAAAAAAAGCATCATGTACGATACAAACTGGGTAGAGAATTGCGAATATACGGGTGCATCGAATATTCTAAGGAATACTACAGCATTCGATTCGAATTCGCTTAGACACAAATTTAGATTATTCGAAATTTCAAGGTATTTGCAATTAACGAATATGGACTTTTTTTTTTATGGAGAGGAGGATTTCCTTCTTACTGGGCTGTTGCACAAGGGTACAAAAGCCGACGTCACTGCCTCGGCAGTGCATTTTTTTGGAGGGTCACGCGCACTAACAACAGCCCAAAGAGAACTATGGCGGCGCCCAGAAAGGCTGGAGTGAAAAGGTCTACATTGTCCCGAGAGAACAAATGATATACAGGAACTCGAGGTGGACGACTGTTTATTCAGCCACAGCATCCATTCACTTCTTTGCTCTCCTCTTTTGCAACCAACACAGCGTGGCATTACCCTCTCCCCAAAGGAAAAAAAAAAGAAGCATCGAATGAATGCCGCAGCTCCGAAAAATGTCTGTGTCCATTGAAAAGAAAAAGGACGAGATAAAAAAAAAGCGAGAAAGAAGTGTACAATTGTCTTGAAGACAAGTGCCACATCACAAAGTTCTTCATTTGCAGTCGACGTGAATAGTAAGGCTTCATCCTGGAGACGTGAACCACATCCGAGGAGCGTGGTCTACGAGAACGGTGCAACGTGTCTGCTGGGACAACATCGTAGTTCACTTCCCCGAGGCGATGAGCTCGGTAGGGTCCGAAGTACCGACATAATTTTTCTGAGCGTCCACGTTGACGTATAGGAGTCCAAAACCAGACTAGGTCACCGGGTTCGTATATCACTGCTTTGTCCCCGTGAACCACTGATATCCACTCAACATAGAAATGAGATCCATACGTATACGTCTATCGATAACATCTAATCAACAACCACACAATGTGCCATCCTTACAGTCTAGAGAGCCTACATATTATTAACGTCGTGTACACTTTCATCTTAGACAAAAACTAGACGTCGCAAATGATGTCGCATATACGTGCTATCGACATCAAATGCATCGCAGAAATTTCTGTCTTCCAAAACCGCTTCAGTAGACGTTTAGAATAATAAATATATACTGGCATGTAAAGTCTAAAAAATGCTCGGAACATAAATGGACACGTAGCGTTTGAGCGTGCGTGAAGCATACATTTACATGCGCGGGGAGATAAAGCGTGCGAACTACCATAAAATTAACATGCGTGGCGCTAGTGTTGCCGCATATGATAGCGCGAAATCATGCAGCCCGAAGTTTCTAGTGTAAAGATCTTTAGAGGCCTGGGCTGTCATCACTTGACGTAACACAAGCAAAACCACATAAAAAATAGAAAATATGATTGGAGGGAGAAATAGATATAGAAAAGGAAGAGATCCCTATCGGAAAAAAACGAATGGTGGGCATGGTGGAAACCACCACCCACCATTATAGTGGATTAATGTAGTGGGTGAATGGTGGGAAACACCCACCATGGCGCATGGTGGGTATGGTGGGTGCTGCAGTGCCGGCAACACTTGAGCGCAAAATGACGTCAGAATCACCATGACGAGCTGCCACAAAAAATAAAAAAGTATTCTATAAAAACGGTATAAAAAAACACCCGTCCCGTAAAAAAGAAAAAAGAAGGCGCCACGGAGGATCAAACGTGCAACCTGCGGATTCCCATTCGAAGACGCTAACCACTGCGCCACACCAACATGCGTGTTAAATACTTAGTTGGCGTACAAACTTAAGGTTCAACTTAAGTTATGTTTGTCGTGTACACAACATAGACAAGATCTACACCTGCTACTAAAACTGCACATTTATTAAACACAAGCAACTGCGCCCTGTAACGATTGCCACTATGTTATTGGCACTAGTGCTATTTTTTTTACAATTCACAACTTAAAGGAAAAAAAAACCAAGTGGACTGGGGAGCAGCAACAGTTTACCGACGGGGTCTGCCAAGTTTAATATCCGTTTCGCGCTCGTTCTAAAGGGCGACATCTGCTCACGCTTTATGACGCTTCTAGGCTCATTTCATAGATACGCCCGCCTAATTTATTTGAGTGAGTATTGGGATGCTTTTCGCGCAATGTAGAGGGCGGTCGCGCCAGCGCAATGCTGTTGCTCTTTCGCTAAAGCAACAACTACATAACGGCTTGGCCAAAACGAATGCAGTGTACCGGAAACATTACGCTATCATAATGGTTCACCAAGCACACGAATTGCCACGTCTGAGTTCTCGTACAAAAGCTAGAGAAGTGCCGGCAAGTGCGACTGGCGGCTGTCGGTGAGAAGACACTAAATTACGTTCTCTGGGAGTGCTTTAATCGCGTCGCATCGATGTTTGTTGCTTCTTGAGTGAACAGCATACACAATAAAAAATGCTTCATTTAGGTTAATTGATGCCATATGGCTGCGCTGTATTATCATACTTAATCGTCGTAATCGTGTATTCTGAAACCCGGAAGCACGGATAACACAATTGTACGGGCTCGGTCAGTAGGCCTAACCTTTGGTGGAAATCATGATGGTAGAACATGTAGTGTACAGATCCCAGCTTGGTACACTATATAATTTGCCCGCCATTATAAGCCCACCCATCATCTGCTTACTGCTTCCCAGCATTATCGCGATGGTGGGCAGAGCTTCTCAGCTTGGTACACCATGTGGCCCACCATAACAAGCAGCACCCATCATCTGCTTAGTGCTTCCCAGCATTATCGCAATGGTGGGAAGAGTTTCTCTGCTTGGTACACCATGTAGCCCACCATAATAAGCACCACCCACCATATGCTTAGGGCTTCCCAGCATTATCGCAATGGTGGGCAGAGTGTCCCATTATTGCCCACTATCTAGCCTCTGCTTTCCACCATCATTTCCACTTTACCCATCATCTGTACACCATACCAAAGTAGAAAGGGCAAGGAAAATAGATTAAGAAATGGAAGAGA